TATTGATAACAGATTTCACCCTGCTTTCAACATTTTCACATCTGTCAACTCCATCCAAATGTCTACTCAAGTTCAATCTTCATTGGCCAACCTCAAGGCATCCACTGCTCAACTTGTGGGCATCATTGCTGGCGCCCGGCACATCCCGGCCGGCTCTGTGGACGTCCACCTTGTTCTAACAAAGCAGGTCACCACTCTTTTGGTATGTTGAACTTATTAAATTAGTGTAACATTAATGTTTGTAATGTCCGGGTAGGCTGACATCATCCGGGCCCATGAGAAAGGGGAGTACATCCCTGGAATTGTGGTGTCCTGCTCTAAGGAGCTGATGAGGGTGCGTTCCATGACTCCCCGGGCTTTGCCCAACTGGCACAGCATTGGCCACGATGACCCCCGGGTGGCTAGACACACCTGGCGCAAGCAAGTCCGTGCCTGGGAGGCGTTGGGTGATAATTCCTGTGATCTCCCTGTTGTCCCTAACGTTTCCACTGGCCCACTCACTCTCAACCTTCCGTCTCCACCTGTCCCTTCACCTGCACTTGTCCCTTCCCCCACCCCCGTCATTCCCTCACCTCCGGTCGTCGCCGGACCTTCCGGCAAGACGACCCCCGAGGTCCGGCACAAAGGAAAAGGTAAGGCCACCTCCGTCGACCTGTCGCCGGAAGTTGGGGGGAGCAACAAGAGGAAGTCTCCAATGATTTCGGGACACTCCTCCCAACCTCCAAAGTCGGCGCTGAAGGCTTGCAAGCGTGTCAAGTCAACTCAACTCCCCAAGTCGAAGCCGTTTGTGGAGTCGGAAGATGATGAGGACCCAATTGTTCAGGTATGTGTTCTGGCTGATTTCTGACATGCTCTCAATTTGTTGCAGCCGATTTCGCGTGGAGTGCCGGAGGTCGTCCTTCCCCAGTGCACCATTGTGGTAAGGAAGCCCCAGTCGCCTCGGTCACCCGGTTCCCCCAAGAAGCAATCATTTGGGCCTGCTTCGGTAAGTTTGCATTTTTCGTTTGGACTTTAAATATATGCTCATGCGTCCACAGCTGACTGCCGGCAGTCGTCCGGAGGTTATGGTGAGTCGTTTGGACATGTCCGGACCTCCCATGTATAATTCCCACTCATTCCCATTACATTAGAAATCTCCCATCAGTCGTCCGGAGGCTCGGGTAAGTCCTAGAAGTTTTCCAGAAACTCATGTGTATTAACAATCTGTCAGGCAACCTCCGGCAGGCGTCCGGAAGTTGAGGAGGAGTCCAATGATACTTCCAGTGCTTCGGATGGTGACCCGCCGGCCACTACCACATTTGATATCACCATTCCCGGCCCAGTGAGTACTCAAATATATTCCCTCTAGTCCATCTACTAACGGATACTACAGAACAACCCCTGCCATTATTGTGTCAAGGAAAATTGGCCCTGTGCGACTCGATTGGACAAGAGGTCCAGCCTCCCCTGCTTGTCTTGCATCCGCTGCTCCACCAAGAAGATCAAATGCAACCCTGCATCTCTGGGATCCCCGCCCAAACGGACCCGAGGGAAGTCTACCACCGGCCGGACGCGTTCCAAGACACCTGCCCCTGCTCCATCCAATGCTCCATCTCCCTCCCGGTCAAGGGCCCGAACTCGTAGTCAATCTCGTGGCCCTTCCCGAACTCCGGCCATCCCTGCTGCAACCACACCCCAGGTGCAGTCACGTGGTCGCAGCAAGACCATCACTACCAAGAAGACACCTGCACCTGCACCTGCACCTGCACCTGTTCCTGCACCTGTCCCTGCACCTGTCCCTGCACCTGCACCAGCTGGTAAGTCACCCATACTTTTGATGACCGGCTGACCTAATTTTTTACTTAGCAGTCAGGTCTTCCAGCGTCGCAGTGCCTCGTGCAGCACTCGATGTTCCCATGCCGGATCTCCATTCCATGGCAATTGCGATTCGGGATGGTGCAGCTCGCATCGCTATTCTTGAGGCTCGGGTGCAGGAGCAGGACGCTAAGATTGATACCCTGCAACGCCTCCATGAGAGCCTCCGGCGCACAGTGGTCGACCGGCACCCTTCATTTTCACTTCCGGACACACCGGCCGATGGAATAATGTTGCTTGGTCAAGGAGGTCCCCCCCCGTCCATGTCACCCCTCCCCTCCGCACTTTCCAACCTCATTGATTTGGACTTTTCAGTCATGCAACCTACACCCTTGACGCCTGAGCATGAATCTGCTGTGGTAGGTCCCATGGTTGAGCCCACCCAAGTTCAGCCTGAGGGTCCACAATCCTCCGGCGAAATTGATCTCCCTGATGAACCAGGCAACCTCCTGCCAGAATCGCCCGGCGATATTGTGGTCCCTAATGAACCAGGTAACCTCCTGCCAGAATATGATTCTTCTGATGAGGAGATGGATGTTGAGGGAAAGGTTGATCTTCCTGGTGAGGAGGTTGACATGGCTACATAATTGCTCAGTGATAGATGTACATAAACGTTTTTCCATGCATGTTACCTATGCCACAATTGAATCATTCAATGATCACTCCCGATATCCAGAACTCGAAACTGCAGATTGAGGTAGATATCACCCAAAACCCGAACACCCGAATGTCAAATTATTAGTGCCGAACCCCGAGTCCCGGGTGCCGGGTACCGAGTCCCGACACCTGGAACTCAGGATTTGACATTTTAGACGAACGACATCTTCCAGACATGTTTAAATCAATCTATGTATATCTGTAAACATTTTACTAACCCCCAAACCCCAAACCGAGATGTACCAACCCCCGAACCCCGAAACCCGAGAGTGCCGGGTCTCGGGTCTCGGGTGTCCGGAACTCGGAACTTGGGAGAATTTGGGGAGATCAATACAATTTAATTTACAATCGAGTTGATTGACAACACATTGACTTACCCATGTTTTGCAATATATTTTTGTTTAGACATACCGAGTTCCGAGTTCCGGACACCGGAGACCTGAGACCCGAGACTGCCGGGTCTCGGGTGTCCGGAACTCGGAACTGGGGAAAATTTGGGGAGATCAATACAATTTGATTCACAATCAAGTTGATTGACAACACATTGAATTAACTATGTTTGCAATATATTTTTGTTTAGACATACCGAGTTCCGAGTTCCGGACACCGGAGACCCGAGACCCGAGACTGCCGGGTCTCGGGTGTCCGGAACTCGGAACTGGGGAAAATTTGGGGAGATCAATACAATTTGATTCACAATCAAGTTGATTGACAACACATTGAATTAACTATGTTTGCAATATATATTTTTTTAGACATACCGAATTCCGAGTTCCGGACACCCGAGACCCGGCAGTCTCGGGTCTCGGGTCTCCGGTGTCCGGAACTCGGAACTCGGTATGTCTAAACAAAAATATATTGCAAACATAGTTAATTCAATGTGTTGTCAATCAACTTGATTGTGAATCAAATTGTATTGATCTCCCCAAATTTTCCCCAGTTCCGAGTTCCGGACACCCGAGACCCGGCAGTCTCGGGTCTCAGGTCTCCGGTGTCCGGAACTCGGAACTCGGTATGTCTAAACAAAAATATATTGCAAAACATGGGTAAGTCAATGTGTTGTCAATCAACTCGATTGTAAATTAAATTGTATTGATCTCCCCAAATTCTCCCAAGTTCCGAGTTCCGGACACCCGAGACCCGAGACCCGGCACTCTCGGGTTTCGGGGTTCGGGGGTTGGTACATCTCGGTTTGGGGTTTGGCACTGAAAATTTGACATATATATTTTTGTGAGTGTTGTGCTTCTGGTGTCCATGCTTAGAAATAGGATTTGTTGCACACCAGGGTTCAGGTGTGGGGTTTTTCCACTTCAGTCCTGGATTATTGGTCAATGCCACACATGATAGATTCATGTTTTTGTGCTTAGGGGTTTAGATTTGGTGGTTGATGGTAGGTATATGCACTGATAGTGTACATGTATCCTATGTGTTTGATTCGCTGGTGGCTACATCAGCTGTATGTCTTGATGGAACATATCTAGGCTCACCCATATATGTAATACACCCCCGTCGGCCCGCCCGTCTATGTATTATCCCCCACGTCGGCCGACCCGTCTATGTGATACATCCTATGTTGGCCCACCGGTCTATATAATACATCCTACATCGGCCCACCGGTCTATATAATTATACCCCACCTCGGCCCACCTGTCTATGTAATAAATATTTTATAGCACCCTCGGCCCACCGGTCTATTTGATATCTCTTTCGTCGGCCCACCCGTATATGTAATACATTCCACGTCGGCCCACCTGTATATGTAATACACCCTACGTCAGCCCACCCATCTATGTAATATTCCCCTACCTCGGCCCACCCATATATATAATACACCCACGTCGGCCCGCCCATCTATATAACAATATTTGCCTTACATCTCTCTTCAGCCCAGCTGTCTATAATATCCTACTCTACATATTACCCAGATGGGCCCACCCATCTCCATGAATGATCATATTCCCCCGGCCCATCCGTCAACATTAAGGATATATATATCATTGGCATACATGGGCCCACCCGTCTCCATCGGAAATAATATGAGTCCCGGCCCATCCGTCATCATCGAGAATATACACAACATGGGCCCATGATCAGCTGGCCCGTCTCATACGGGATATTATGGAGGTCGGGTGGCCCGTATAATACGGAATTTGTCACTGAAGGGGCTCAAAAAGACCGCAGATTCAGCATCAGAAGAAGACTTGCAAAATACTGTTACTTGGGAACATTGTATCACAGAATCTACCAGTGATCATATGGAGTCCATGAACTGCCTGTCAAAATCCAGCGACTCAATAGGTTCTGTCGAAATCAACAATGCACTTCTCAATTCACACACAGAATCATCTCCTTCAGTCGCACTTTCAATCACAGACCAACACTTTCTGCCAGTTCAATCTGTCATCTTACCACCCACCCATTTGAACAAGGAACAAGCCTTAGCATTTATGATTGTGTCATGCCATGTGGTTGATCTCCTGTGAGGCCAAAATCCTCCTCAACTGTTCATGGTGATACATGGACAAGGTGGGACAGGAAAAACTTGTCTATTACATGCTATCACTGCCTTGTTCCAAAATTTGGGATGTTCCCAGCAGCTGGCAAAGATAGCTTTGACTGGCATTGCAGCGTTGCAAATCAGAGGAAAAACACTGCATTCCTGGGCGACCATTCCAGCCAAAAAAGGTCTTCCCTGTTCAGACAACTGGATCTTTCACCCAATGAAAGAAACTGCAAAACATTGCAGCGCTAATATGCAAGGAAAATGGCTCCTGACTGCAGATGAAATGAGTTTGTTAACGACAGAAGTCTTATGGCTTCTATCCCAAGTATTAACCGCTTTTCGTGCAGGAGAAGGTATAACATTTATTGCTTAACTTTGGTTGATGCTTATCAAGATTGATTAATGAAGGGATACCACAACAAGTGATTGACAGTCCCCTCGCTGGACTAAGTGCGATTTTACTGGGCGATTTTCACCAGTTTCCACCTATAGGAGGTCGCAATAGCGCATTATACTCACAACATCCTCACTCTTCAAAATCACAACTCGGAAGAAATCTCTTCCTCCAGTTCAATACCATTGTTGAGTTACAACAACAAATTCGGGTGACAGACACTGTCTGGGATGGCATTCTTCAGCATGCAAGAATTGGTGCTTGCACAAATGAAGACTTGCACGAAATTCAACGACTGGTTTTGACAAATGATGACTGTAACATTCCCAACTTCTCTGTAGCACCTTGGAATGATGCAGTTCTGATCACACCTCGAAACAGTGTACGATCTTGATGGAACGCACATGCAACAGAAAAACATAGCTTGTTGTCTGGAGAGATGATGTATATTTGTCCAGTGGAGGACTTGGCACACGAAGCTCCTCTATCACCGTCACAATGGTTGCTTGTGGCAAATTTATCACTAAAAGAGACAGAAGACTTGCCCACCGTGATCCGCTGTAGAAACAACTATTCAGATGGTGATATTCTGAACTATGTGTTGGGTCTGCTTGCCTAAGCTGCTATGCTTGTAGTGACAAGTGTGTTCGACCCTAAAGGGGAAGCAAGTGCAGCAGAGATCTAGGGGTTGGTGCAAAGGGTGCCGTTCGTTGGCCGATGTGAAGCATGGGAAAGCACATGAGGCGCGAGCGCGAGAATGAAGCGCTTAGGGGCAGCCAATGTGCGGGAAGGTAGTGCTTGAGTGGCGCAAAGCACAGGAAAAGCGCGAGGTGGGTTTACAAGAAGAGGTTCATAATAGATGTTAAGGATATTCTTATTGCCAATAGATACTGACTATGGCATGTGACAGATGAGCTTTACACTGATAGTGAGGTGCAGGGAGCTTCTATATGATTTGATCATGTAAAATATGAACTACAGGCGCTTATATATGTCTAAAAATGCACCCCTGAAGCAGAGCCAAAGCAAGTAGGTAAGGTATGTAATAAGGATCCATGACATGAGAATTGAGCAATCATTAAAATATAATATGGTCTGATATGGAGAAAATGATATGAACACATACCAGTGAGGTTGGTTTGGACAATGGATGGATGTGCAACATAGGGTGCTTCAAGCATGGGAAAGCGCGCGAGAATGCAGCGCTTGGGGCGGCTGATGCGCAGGAAGGTAGCACACAATTGGCGCTTGGCACGGGAGAGTTTCGCTTCACATAGGGAATGATTGGAAAGATATTGGCACAAGTTTGTGCATCAAACTGTACTTTGAGACAGGTCGCATATATAGCCTCTGCAAGGCCACAGAGATATCAGTCTCTACACTGCATTGTAAAGGGAATGTGTGTCATGGTAACACGCAACATCGCAACCACAGCCAACCTATCCAACGGATCAAGAGGACAAATTGCCGACATAGTTTTAGATCTAAGAGAACCTGTGATAGCAGCAGAAGCAGTCAAAGAAAAGAAAGCCTACTTACTCTATCCACCAGCAATCATCATTCTCGAACTCAACTTCTGTGAATTGCCCCAGTTTCCCAGTCTGCCACCGCATCATATTCCACTATTGCCTATGGATTGCAAGTTCACCATTGGTACCACACCGTCAACGAGAATCACATGGCGACAATTATCTCTAACTGCTGCTTATGCATTCACAGACTATAAAGCTCAAGGTCAAACTATAGATCACATACTCATAGACATCAGCAAAACAACTTGTTTTGCACTGTCTCCTTTCAATGCATACATTGCACTTTCAAGAGGGCATGGTCACAATTCGATCAGGTTACTGAGAGATTTTGATGATGACTTATTCATCTGTCATCCATCAGAAGATCTGCGAATAGAAGATGAGAGAATGGGTCTACTTGTCAAAGAGACTGAGAAGAAATTCAAAGATTGTGATTGAGTAAAAAGGCACAATATCCAGCGGCACACTGGGGAGAGTTGAACAACGTTCACATGTACTGAAAAGAAGTTTAAGGAAGGTTATTATGATATTGAATTGTAAAAATGTGGCCAATATGGTGGCCAAAGTCCCACATCGTAAAATGACTTCTCGCACACAATCAGGACACAAGGCCAAAGGTATGAGCAGTGGTCCAAATGAGGGAGGGTGCGGGTGTTGGTACAGCAGCTCTACCGACATCAGAAGGCAAATTTCATAATGTGATGCCCCTAAACATTGTATCTATCAAACCACCATGCAGCCCAGCATATTTGAACTGTTAAACACTTCAGACAATCAGTGTGCTTTCATTTTCAGTGAGTCTGACAGAGATGGACTTGCTGATAACAGAACTGACATATGGAGGGATAGTAGAACATCAATTACATGGGGGTAATCATGTGTACATCGAATCTAATGACAGGATGCACACTATCTTCGTGGCCAGCGGCGATAGCATGGTATACACAGAGTTGCCTTCCATCATAGCAACCAAAGCTTTGTATGACAATCCCACTGAGTTCAACTGTACGAGCTAAAATCTGCAACGATAATGTTAATCACTTAAACATTGACAGGTATTGTGAACCTGATTGCGAATGATCCTGCAATATCCATTGTATATGCTGAGACGCTTGATTTGGCACGAGACTTAGTAAACCGGGCATTTAATTGGGAAGATGAAGGCACTTGAAACGATTATTGGCTTGGGAATTTGTATCTGGAAGTACTGCATTTGAAGGTAGTTGGGGACAAGAAAACTCGACAGAAGCTTTGGGTTCATGTTTCTCAAAAATAATGGAAGCTCAACATCTAAGGAACCACAAGTCGCCAAGGCCATCATCTGCAGGCGGGACGCTCAAGTAGCACACAAAGACATCAAGAAATGAGGAAAAAGACAAGGAAATGTGAGAATCGTAATAGCAACTTATGTAAGATTTTCAAAAAAACTGGCTCCACAAGGTATCCGGTGGCAATGCCAACCCCTAGTATTTGTATTTGTATCGTGCTTCATTGGTGCCTTAGTCTTCATTCGCACCCTGTATTGTATCTGTACTTGTGTCGACCAATTTTATGCATTGTGGTGTGCTCATATTGACAAAGTTCTATCATTTTCGATGATTGCACTGCATGATGTTCACGTCAGGTGACTGACAGATTATGTGCCATCACGTCTCAGAGGTCCCTTCTGGCTGCTAGACAATTGAATATACCAACTCACACCATCAGTCAAATTTCAAGCTCAGGCACCGACAATAAAAAGCTAGCAACACGGTGCATTTGTACCATGGATCAAAGCATATGGAAAGTCAACAAAAGGACAATCAAAGGGCAATATGCAAGTGATTAATCGCAATTTGTATCATTCACTAAATCGTAGCAGACCACTGACAGCTCGCTCCCTACAAATTGAAGTGCTTCTTCAGCAGAAGAGTGATTGATGACAGTCGTTCACTAATAGCAGGAGGACATGAAATGCCAGTGCTGGTCAGGGTGATAAACACTGGGAGCTAGAGGGAAGAGCAGACGGGAGCCTCAGCCAACAGTGGTTCCCTCTTCCATCCTGCCGCCTGCTACCATGTCTCGACTAACCACTTCCAATGGTTGATCGAGGCATAGTAGTAGCAGGTCATCAGCAAGTTATCAGCAGGACCGGGAGCACAAATAGGACAACAACCTTGGGTATCAGATCGCAATGCCCGCAGGCCACTAATTTCACTTCCATTATTTCTGCAGTTGTGTTCCCCTTGGTCGACGGACTCCAAGTCGGAGGGCGCATAGTCTTTTGATCTCTGATAGCACTACGACACAGCAATCCCTAAAAAATCACGCTCTCCCCAAGTGAGATTGGAGATAGAGACGCCACTACTTGCATACTTTCCTAGGTTTTAAGCTCCCAATGTTGCTGCTTCAAAAGGACCACATCCGCTTGTTTCATTGACAGTCTATATAATATTCTAATATATATAAGCATGGAGTGTTTGATCCCGCGGAACCAATTCGCGTCTACCCCACGTACATGCTCCAGCTGAGCGCCACCTGCTTTCCAATTGTTCGATCTCTGTGTCTCCTATGGTCTCCTTTTGAATCCCAGCCTGCACTGATCTCTCTCCTAACAGATCTTGCTGTCTCTGTTTTCATTTTTGGTGGGACAAGCGCACCACCTGAAGATATTTCATCAATGCTCGCGTGATCACCACTGCGGCAGATAGAACTCTGCACAACTATACACCACACTGTCGAGAGTGCGATGCCGCCATGGCATTCGGGCGCTGTTTCCAACAGAGACTGAGGTGGAAAGGATGACGGTGAGCGTAGTTGTAGTACAAGCATCTATTACTGTAATTGACGATAGGAAACGTCCGAAGGTGATCGGAGTGCTTGTAGAGTATAAGTACTGCATGGTACATGCAATCCATTGAAACCATTCTCTCTCCAATCTTCAATCTCTCTGCAAGTTTTCGCAATGACGTTAACGAACAATCTGTCCACATCCCATTGCAGATCGCTCGCCCGGTGGCCTGTATCCTGGAGACAATGAGCAGTTGGCTTGTAATCTACGTGACGATTGACCATTCATCTCGGATAGCCATTCAGAGCATTTCTGGTCGTGCAATGTTATGATACGGTCTACATGAGATGCATCCGATTGCAATGTCATTGCGCAACTTGATTCTCTTGAGAAAAAGGTGGACATCATGACACTGTATCACCGGAATGAGATAAACGACGCTATCAAACCGCCGAGTTACAGTTCCCTCCCCACCACCTCTTAATCCTCTCCGGTCCCCACTCCTGATACTCTTCTGCTGTCACACCCACTTGATGGAACTCATCCGTGTTGGCAAAGGATGCCATACCCTTCCAAGCATCAAGCGATGGATCTGCTGCACGCACGATATCACCCAAATGCATCTCAGGCGGCAAAATCGGACGAAGCGTCCCATAAAGTCTTTCTTGAAGACCAGGAAACTGCGATGGACCGCCGGTAATGAATACATTCTGTGTTTTGCATGAGTTGGAGCTGGAAGGTCTGAGAAACACAAAATAGACCTTCACAAGCCTGGCTTTCTCAGCTTTCTGTGAATCTTGCCAGGATGCTTTGAAGAACTTCACCGAGGCCAGCGGAGTCAACGCCAGCCATTCCCGGTGAAAAGTATGTTTCGCACACGCGCCATCGTTCCGTGTTCAGATGTATCCGTGCGCTTCCTATTATTGGTTCCTGTAAGCATTCATTCGTTGAAAAGAGAGTCGATACAACCCTCGATGTCTCCCTCTTCATACAGTGGTCTGAAGGCAGATATAAGTGCCGATCGCTGAGATGTTATGGATGCATGCGTATGTTGGGCCGTGAATGTCGGGTCATACATGAGGAGCTTGCTCTCGATGATCCGAAGTTGGTTAAATTCCTCCTCCTCATCTGATGATACAGCCGCAGCATTCTGTTGTATGATGTCAGATTGAATGATTCGCTTAGGAGGCAAGTACGACGAACGAGTTTGCGATAAATCTGCCAGTCCTCGTCATCCGCTCCGAACATGTCCTCTGAATCGCAAGTGTTGAGAACATAAAATTAATTAGAAGGATTACGAAACTTGCCTGCACCTGCTTTCCTTTTCTTCTTCGAAACGCGTTCATCAGCTGCCAAAGAAGCAATATTCTTCATCCTAGCTTGCGCGGCTGCACTTTTCCGATCAGACAATGCAGCCTTCCGACGTCCCCGCTCTTTGATCTTGCTCATGATAGTCTATTGCTCCGAAAGGTCAGCAAGAGCATCCTAAGCGAGCAGATGGCAAGTACCACACCTCTTGCTCGCGGCGCAGTCGACCTGCCCAATCATCAAAGTTATTCTCCCGCTCTCCCTCCTCTCGTCTCTCTTCAGCTTCCTTCTCCTCTCGTTCTTTCTCTTCTCTCGTCTCGCACGCGCTCTTGCATCAAAACCGGCTTTCATAAGTTTCTGCTTCTTCTTTTCTTTTATCCCTTCTTCATCGAGCTGTGGAACGGGAAACTCAACCATGCATCACTTTGGATTAACATGAGACTTACGTCCGCATCCGGAACATCGATGAGAGGGAACGAAGGTTCCTCCTACAGCCACGAGTCAAAAGGGAGTAAGTAGCAATAATGCACGATGCTCACAATGACATCGTCTTGCCCATCAAGGTCCTTCTTGCGCGAGCGTTTAACGTCGACCTCGAGTTTCCTGATGGTTTCATCGAGGGCAGCATCATCATCAAAACCCTCGACTTGAAGAACATGCTGTAGGGAAATTAAGCAACATGCCTGGCGAGGTACTACGTTCGTCAGTACCATCCACTCGCGCTTGTTTTCGCTCTTGCCTTCCTTCAAACTCGTGAGGTACTGTAGATCAGTCTCCTTCTTCGCCAACTGAAAAATTATTAGCTTGATCAAACCCTTATTTTTTGTCGCGAGAACAGGGGACACACCTTCTCCATCCGGCTCTTTGCAGCCAACTCTTGGAGTTTCTTTCCTTGTTCTTTTCGTTTCTCTGCTATCCTCGTGAGTTCCTCTTCGGTCTTTTCTTCAACGACAGGGATTGTAAATGGGAACTGGATGATGCGCTCTGCGGCGCGCATGTTTGCGGGGATTTTGAGAGAACGGAGGACAGCAGGGTAATCAGTAGCGAAGGAGCAGAAATTGTGCAACATCCACTGCAGGATGTCAATAACCAAGGAGTTATTTAGCTAGCGTATGAACGTACGCTTGCTTGTACAGACGTCACACGCAGTCGGGAAGCTAGAGTATTTCAGCTGGATGAGCTTCAGGAGATACTCCGTTGATTGCTGTGTACCCCACGGTATTCTGCCAAGTACGATCAACACACGGTTCCCTCAGCTCAAGGAATACGGACCGTTTTGCATGACTGAGCACGCCTTTCCCATTGAGAATGGGGATAATAGATGTGGATGCCGTGTTGAATGAAACGACAAGGCCGTCAGCACTGAATATGCTGCCGGATATGGGCTTGTTATTATGATAAAACGACATCACAGAGTCGACGCAGTAAGTGAGTGAAGGGACCGAATATTGCTCAAACATGAGCTCGGAGGTCACTATGCATTTGGTTCGGTGAGGTGGTCAACACGAGGAGCTTAAGGACGTACATGCTCTTGAATGCAGGGGCGAGCAGAGTCTTTCTGTCATGAGCACCGGGTGGTCGATGCCCTCAGCGTCGATTCCCAACCTCACAAATGCGTAGTCCAACGCGTGTTCCTAACTCACCTACCCTCAGCGCCACCCACACAGATCAGCAATGTAGGAAACCCACCATTGCATCGAAATTCAACAACACATCACCTTCCCAAGGTGTCTTGCCCTGGCTTTTGGCACCACTCTCCGTATCAATTGCGTCACCAAACAGTAACAACGATTGGTTGAACTTGCGCTCCTTGTACTTGGCGATGACATTGGGAGAAGATTGGGGAGAGGCAGACGTGCTGAAGCCAAAACGGAGGTTTGAGGAGCCGTTGTCTATGATGAGAGGGACAGACTGAGACCGAAAACGATCATATGAGTTGGGAGGTGTAATGCTTGGGAGACTGGGTGTCGGGACATAGAATATGTTACTCGTTTCAGCTTCATCCATCGAAGGTAAGGTGCGATTCACGGTTGATACCAATTACACAGCAGATGAGGCTCAAAAGCGTAAATTGAGTAGTTACTAAACAACCAAGTTACAAAGTACCGCGCCAAGTTGGCGCTGGCGCGTTCAGGGCTTGGTCAGGACCATCATCACTGGAATTGCAAATTCGCTTACAACGTTCGCCTCTGCGCTCAACGAGGTTCAAGTCGAAGTCATCAGGCAAGAGTCCACCCATCCTTGAGCTTGAGCCATTTTCATAACTGGTTTGGCCTCAAGTCACAGTCTAAACTATGGTCCTTTAATTTCATGTTCGTACGTCGTCTCTGGAGATAATCATCGCTCAACGGTAATGAGCCAACTAGAGTTGTCTCGTTCCACCCTACGGTCTGGGTGGCAATTTAGGATCTATCATTTGTCAACGAGTCCCTGGGGTTTCCCAGATGTAATTTTTTGACGTGGCTCTTCGCAATACACTCCGTGTCGATTTCTTCACCAAATGACAAAAGCAACTGGTTTGACAAGCACTCATTATACTTTGCGATGACATTGGGAGAAGAGCAGGGGGACAGAGGTGCTGCCAGCCCGCAGGTTTGAGGAGCCATGGTGAGGGACCCTCTGTGACCGAAATGGACTGTAGTAGTCGGCGGGTGTGATGCGCGGTGATAGAGTCACTCGTTTTAGCTTCAGCATGAATGTTATCATCACCATTCCAAGCTGTATTCCGAAGATGATTGATCAAGATGCTCGAAAACGTAGTAAGACTGAACAACCACTTGGTACGGTTGGCACCAGTCTTGGACCAAGCGGCGCAAATTGTTCAGTTTAGAACCCAACTGTCTGATTCATAGTCGAGCTCCACTGTGACTGCGTGTAAGAACCCTGTTTGGTCAATATTTGAATAATAATCACAAGACTGATGTACTAAGAATCAACTACTAGTGATTTGGCTGTTGGCAGCAGGTGTCTGACCTAGTGTGATATCCATTGCAGCTGAAAGAATACCCTTGATGAATACATATCAGATCTTATAGTATTGGACTCTTGCCACCCTCTATGAAACGTAAGAAGGTCAAGGTGAGCACAGGTATGTCCTTCCTTGCACGTAATTGACAGGAAGAACACCCCAAAACCATATATGTTTTAGATGATCTTCATGTCACTTACGTGGGAGGAAGGACAATTTGGGTGTCTGAGTCAGTGTCAACTACGTGCAAGGAAGGCCAGAGAAAGCATGGTGGGAAGGATGCCAGAATTCTGGGAGTTCTTTTTACGTGTCAGCCCCAATTATAGCTTGTCGTATTTGTCAATTACGTGCAAGCAAGGACATGAGGCTCATGAAGTGAAATTTACATGATGTGGCCCTTGTATCTTGCTTCTTTTTTGTCTGAGTCCTAATTCTTGGAATCCGATATTACAAAAAATAGGAGTGTGTGGGCGCAAAGAGTCTATTCGGTTTATACCAACACTTTATTTGTACTCTCCGCTACTCCGCCAGTCACTACAAGTGCGTGTCCTCTTAATGAGAGAAGTTCTTGGTTGCGACAAGCCTCGTTACCACTGCTTATCAATCCAACTAGATCCGATGGAAAACAATTTACAAGATTTCCCCGAGATCGACGACTGGGAGATCTCGCCTCCACCCTCGCTCCCCATCGCAAAATTGCTTATTGCACTTACCTAAATTGTGTTCGCCTTCGAGCCATGTGGCAGCCATTATTACAGAAGCTGCATAGCCTATCTCATCATGCTGCCGATCTGTTTTTTTTGGGATTCAACGATGTAAGTACTCGCAGTGGTGTGGCATCATTGGTTCTGCTTGCCAAGCTTCATGTCCACACTGCCTGCGGTCCTGGTGAGCATATAAAACTGTGGGTCTATCTTAATCAATTCTCGCAACAGCTAGCGTCTCAGGTGTAGGCCCTACTGTATACCCTGTGCTTGCGCTCGTCCTTTGACCGTGAAACCATGCTAGACCGACGGCTCCTGACAATCAATCGAGATGTCCTTGACGTCCATGTCTGTTGCGCCCCTGCCAATCCATCCACTAACTTTCCGCCAACTACCACCAATACGCTTACACGTGTTTCGAATTATGACTCCTGGCAAAGTCACCCAGTGACCCTTCACAGCGTCCGGCACCACGACCCTGCGTCATGCAGCACATTACTGAGGTGTGTCCTTCGCGCCCTATGATTTAATTTTCTCATAATTACCATTATACGCAGGTGGCCCGACGTCCGAGTCCACCATTTGAATTCCACCGATTCCACCGTATTTAACGAGTCGTCGTATCAGTGGCAGGGTTTCGCCATCCCTCCTTCGAGCGGACTACTCTCACCTACTATACCTCCGCATCTGGCTGCAGAATACCGCTTTTCAACGCAGCCTCGCGGTGAAAATATACATCACCTCTCAGAACATTCACCCACCAACCATTCATATTTCCTCCCACCTCATAGCCATTGCTCGTCTCCCCTCTTGCCTTGCAAATGGCTACACGACGACGCATCCCAAATCTGCGGATTCTGGGGATCATTAGAAGCGCTAAAAGCGCACTGTAAAACTCACTTCAATGCCGGTCCCCCACAAGCGCAGATAGAGTGCCGCTGGAACCATTGTGATTATAAAAAGCGTTCGAACTCGGCAGTACGTTCTATGCGGCGCGACTGTATGTGGCGCCACATGTGCGAAGTCCACTTGGGAATGAAGAGGATCACCTAGGCGAGCTCACCCCCTCATGTATCTTTGCTGTACGGTTGCTAGCTGTGTTGCTATAATAGATCCTTATTGATCGTTTGTCATCGACTCTTGTGTTATAATTTTCTATATTGACACCAAAAATACAGTGATCATTCTGGCCTCTTGGATATCATGAGGTGATTACCGCTCGGTAAGGTATTTTCTGCTCACTTATAAGGTCAAGCACCTTGCCATCACGCGTCTACTGCCCACCACACCCGACCTGTAGTCTCTCGGCTCCCTACGAGGCTACCACACCTACCCTCCAACCTGCGCAGTGAAACGCACCAAAACTAGCTAACCCTAAGTTAAGTTGAATAGGGTTAGGGTCCGTCCCAGGACGGATTTCCATATCTAGAAAAAGAGTGACGGGCTTTGAATGTGGAGGGATAATTACCACTGCATTTGAGAAATGGTTGGTCGTCGATGTGATTCGGAAGTTCCGAAAATATGAAGATGCCTATAGGCCACACAGCAGGAACGAATAAGATCATATATTGCATGTAGAGCCATCAAACTAACACAAGGATGACGTCTGCCACAAACGGAATGACAATAAGACCAAAAGACAGCAGCAAGCAAGAACGATTGTAGACCACGAAGAGCGAGGACGATTGTGAACTGAAGGATGAAAACACAAAGAGCTATAAGGAGATGAGACAAAACATGATGAGAGACGGAGAACAAGTCATCCACAGCAACATCGAGTGATGAAGACAATGTGAAAGGGGAGAGAAGGAAGGTGGGTAGCGGTAGGCGTGGTTGAGGTGTTGGCGATGCCATCAACCGTTCCTTGAAGCGGAGTGTCCTGGGAACTTTTATTATGTAATCTATCCTGAGATCACTATCAGCCAATTTAACATCGTTTTATCGTTTATAATAGTGCCACTTGCTCTGAGTCTTTAAAAGCACCATATGGAAATGGTCGACAACGATCTTTCACGACTGTCGCATCCAGATGATTACCAAAGGTATGGAAGACAGATGATACTTGAGGGTTTCGGCTTGGAAGGTGGGCCAAAATCTGGATCCATCTGCAACCGCTCACGCAAATCACCCAACAGGTCAGCTAAAACTACAGAATTCATCTGTAGTGGTTGTCGGAGCAGGGGGACTTGGTTGCCCCGCATTACAATATCTCGCTGCAGCCGGTGTAGGTACGTAGGCCCGTTTCTCAAACGACCATGCAACCCGGAGGAACTCACGTTTGCTAGATAGGTCGCCTAGGCATAATCGACCATGACACGGTCGAACTGTCCAATCTCCAACGCCAGATACTTCATACGGATAATACGATTGGCAGCCCGAAAGCTGTGTCTGCAGCCCAAGCCATCGCTGCTCTGAACCCACGCGTCAATATTGACGTATGTCCCACTGCTCTCGATTCATCCAACGCGCTTTCTATTCTCGCCCCGTACGATGTGATCCTCGATTGCACAGACAATGCTCCCACACGCTACCTCCTTTCTGATAGCGCCGTAAGGCTCAAAAAGCCTCTCGTCAGTGGAGCCGCCCAGAAATTCGATGGCCAGCTTTGCATATACAATCTAGGCGATGATGGCCCCTGCTATCGCTGCATATTTCCAAAGCCACCTGCGCCAGAAATGGCAGGATCGTGCGAGGAGACAGGTATACTAGGCGCTGTGACAGGGATCATCGGAAATCTACAGGCACTTGAAGCGATAAAGCTTATCACTGGTCTCCACGGTGAGTTGTACTAGCTGTTGCAGGGCTTATAGTTTCTGAAAGATTGCCAAGATGGTAAAGCGTCTCTACTTCTTTTCAGCGCTCTATCTGTCCCTCCGTTTCGCACCGTGAAGCTCAGATCAAGGAAGCCTACCTGTGCTGCATGTGGGATCGAGGGCCAGAAAGTTGGCACCATCGAAGAAACCGATTATGTGGCATTTTGTGGTGGCGCACGGCCAAATTGGTTAGAGCGTGGTCTCAAAGCTGGCGAGCCTGAATCGCGGATATACGTCAAAGAACTGAAATCCGTCTTCGAATCAAACATAAATCATACCATCATCGATGTGCGGCCAAGAACTGAGTTTGGTATATGTCGTCTTCCGAGGTCTACAAGTAAGTGATTTTCGGGCTAGAGGCGCAGTCGTCTTATTGGTGTTCAGGTGTCCCGCTCAATATCCTATTGGCTAACCCAGTGCCTCATCTTCCCTCAGACAAGTCGTGTCGGGTGTTTGTTCTATGCAGATTAGGCAACGATTCTCAAATCGCTGCGGACGCCATCAGGGCAATCGACTCCAATCTGATTGTAAAAGATGTTATCGGAGGCTTACGTGCATGGTCGAATGAGATAGATCCAACATTTCCTGTGTATTGAGGTAAATTACACTTGTTTCTCTTTCATGCGATGATCTATGGTAGAAGCTGGCAACTATACAGGTGGACCTCGAATTGGGACCTGAGATAATACATATGTTGATCTTCCTTTCACTTTTCTGGGAATGAACTATGAGAAACGGAAAGCCAACAAAGCAAGCCGCGTACTTAGACCTGCCTTCAGCCACTTGGGTATCTTTTTCCCGGTGCTTGTGCTCGACGTTGTTGTGGGAGGTGTAGCAGACTTCTCTACCTTGCGAGCTTCAGCTTCAGCATTGGGGGGTTTCGGTAGTTCAATGGCGCTTGCTGCAATGGATGGCAATAGGGGTGCGGGGACATTCGTGCCTGTGAGCCTCGTGAGGAGCGATTCATGACTTCACGGCGAATGGACCTACCATTCAAAGATTCGTCTTCGAAACGCAGAAGGAGAACTGATGATGGGGCGAGCTGTAGTTGTGCCAAGCTTAAATCACGGACATTTGGGTCTGATACCTTCAGGTCGCGCTTGGGAGGAGATTGATCTACGAATGATGTCAAAGCCCGACCCATTGAAAGCTGCTAGCACACGAACATAGGATGAACTTGATAGGCTTTACATCATCTCGGAGGGACGAGCGCACAAATGCGTACACGGAGCGAATTTTGTCCGTAGAGGGAAAAATCTTCTCCAGCTGTGTTCGATCAGAGAACCTGACACGTATCGTTGTCTGCATGTATTCAGCCCTAACTCAACTGACTCGGGACTAAAGAGACACACATTTGGCCATCGATCTCTCTTTGACTTCTCTGCTGCCTCTCGCTGAGCTCGTACTTGTAGGGGTGCATCAACTAGTGATCGTGTCCGGGCGCTTAATGTTGCTTGAGCAGCCTTCAGGTCGGCAGGAGATGGGGTGAAGTAGGAGTCTGGCAGTTCTTCTACTATAGAACTTACGATTAGTTACGAGGTAACATTTTCAAAACGTGTTAACCTACGAGGAGCGCTGGTGGTTGGTGAGTTTGGAGGCTTATACACCTTGAACTCAGTCGCGAGAGCATCTCCCGCACTACTGGAGCCTGGTGTAGATGTGTCACTATCCTGCGTAGGCGTAGATGATTGTGAATTCTCAGTCATGGACGTCAGGTTCAAAGTAGCAGATGATCGATGATCGATGATCGATGACTGATCAAAGGGAAGATGTGTATCGGTACGTTGTACAACAATAAATAAACGTTTCGCAGTCTTACAATCTACAGATACGCCAGAAAGTTTTACAAAAAAACCTGTGAATAGAAGAAAAGTCAGTATCCACAAATTTCTTCTCAATGAATGAGGATAAAAAATCAGAGGCTGCAGAAGGTTGTCTCAGCTCACTCGCCTCAGGGCTGGCGGGCGAGCTAACCTTTTGGTGTAAGACGAGTGAATCGAACGCAAATTACTAGTAACATCATGAAAAAAGGGATGAACTAGAAAACTTACCAGGTGCTATACCTGATGATGAGAAAGAAAATAGACAAAAGAAAGCGACGCTGATCGAGTCTAGCAGCATTGTTTGGGTCTATTTGATTGGCTTACGTAGCCAATTTGGAGTAGGATATGATCGATGACCGCTATGTCTGAGATATTGTTTCCTCATGCCACACAATCATCACGACGGACACTGTAGTCACGAGAGTAACGACAACGACCATGATCATGATCATGGGACCAGCGACCTTGGCCCAAATGATAACCTGTTCCCGCACATCGACCGCGCCAACGTTGTCGCACTCAACGCTACAAGGGAAGGCTCAGTCGCTGTTAAACCCTGGGATCAGAGGAACAACGAGGAAGCTGTATGTAATACCTCTCATACATGTGCTTGTGTTCGGGGATTGATCATGTTGAAATCATTTCTAGTTTTTGGAGTCGGATGCCGACGATCAGCTGTAAGGTCTCGCTGAATCGAGATCTTGACATTATGCAGCTCAAATAACATTCTATTGAGACTTCTACGTATCCCCTTTACCGGATCCATCAAGCTTCGGTCTCTATTGTTGAAGACGGGCCCGGGCGACCAGACCCCAACAAAAGTTGCTCTGGTTGGTCTTAAATCCCTAATTAACGACATATTATTCACGTCCCACATGTAGTTTTCCAATCAGCCCAGCATGGATTTCAACGACATCTCTGACAAGGTGCCTGTTCAAGAATTCGACATCCCTCAGGACAGAAATGTCGCGGAGTACGCTGTCAAGTACGTTTGATTCCGTCTCTCCGGGAGAGTCATATCAACATTCACCCTCCAGGACGGCAAAGTTCAACAACGTTTCCTCTCTGACGTTATTTTTCCCTGCCTCGCAGGGTGCGGACATGACAAGAATTTATTATGTTGGTCTTCTTGGTCATTGGACTGAGGTATGCCAGTTCTCAAACTACTGTTTTCGATTCTAAGACTCGTTCATTCTTTCAGCGCAAGAGCGATCCAGTCATTACTGTCTATGAAACTCAGGCTAATCTTGCCGATCACGAAAAGATTCAGGGAACAGACGGTAAATTCAATACAACGCAATCCTAATAAAATGCAGAATTCTTATACCATAATTACAATGCGACAAAACAGTGAAGTTCTTGAAGTGTGTACAAGATAGCATGCAAGTGCTTGTGATGATGTATAGTAGAACATAACAATCAATGTAAAAGTCTGAAACCATGCTTGACATCGCTTACATCACAATATATCCATCATTTTGTTCTCCAGGGACAAGCAACGGCTTGAAGAACCAGGCTCCAAAGCCAATGAAGAAATTAGGACGGCCTCATCAATCACGAGGGTTCATCCCTTGTCCATTCGCACTCCGTTGCATAAACGACTGCATCATCTCACTATTCACTGTGGACCCCACGCCGCCAAGCTGCATGCCCCCATTGATTTGCCTCTGTGGTACCCCACCACCGCCCTGTTCATGTCGAATCATCAATATATCCTCACGTAAGTGTACCATATAACAACTTACAAACATATTCATTGGCATATTCGATCCATTCGAAAACGGACTCATATTCTGCATTCCCACACCAGGTGCTGGTGCCTGTACCTCCTGCTGCATTGCCCCTGCCTGTAGTTGTTGGTGCTGCTGGATTTCTCGTTGCCGCTGCCGAATTTTCTGCTGGAGTGCGAGTTGTTGCATGAAGCGCCTTTGCTGCTGCGGGTCAAGGCCCTGAAGTCGCGTCAGCATCTCAGGGGTGAAGACGCCTGGGGGTTGTTGTTGTTGTTGTTGTTGTAGTTGTTGCAGTGGCAGTTGTGGTTGTGAATGTTGTTGCAGTTGCGGTTGCGGTTTTGGGCCGTCAACTTTGCCAGAGCCCGGCAGATCCGGAAGTCCAGTGACAGGGAACACTGCGCCTACTAGCTTGTTACTCATCGGGAACACGATCATATTCTGTGATATAGTCCCCGAAGGAAGTTGCCACGCCACTATGCCAAACTGAATATCAAAGACTGTCAGTAGGAATGACAGAAAGCGAGAATGAATGGAACACTCGCTGTTCGTGCTTCCATCATGATCCTCATCAACGCATTATAAGCCGCGTCATTTTTTTTCTGTTCAATGCTTCGCGCTTGGGGCCTGAACTGAGCTATCACAGCAGATTGGTGGTGTTTTTGAAGCCACGACTTTAAATCTGATGGATCCTTCAGTCCTCCTTGTGGTATATCGATGAACATTCTCTCGGGCCATGTTTCCGTGTGGCTGCACAAGGAATTAGTACTAGACCACAGAAACTGTCCGATGACGTACGGTTGACCTTTAGAACTCATAACAGCGGCCACCTGCACTTCAAACCCCTTTGGTTGTCCAGCATGCTGTATAGTGAAAGAGCCTTCCCATTGATTTGGCCCTCCTGGAATTGCCGAGGTTGAGGCCTGGGGCTGAGACTGGGGCTGAGACTGATGCTGAGAGGTAGATCCAGAGGCAGGCGGATGGGCTGGTCGGGGTTGAGGTGAACCGGAAAAGGTTGGTCCCGGGATACCAGTCTTGTTGAGCAACTTGTGCATTTGCGCTGCGAGCTCTGGATTCGCGTATGGTGTTGTTCCCGAACGCGCCTGCATGAGGTGTATTAGTGCCTGCTGATCTGTCAGCGGTGGCTTCTGATCCGTGACTGGCTTCTGCTCCTCCATGGGTGCAGATACGGGCGCAGACACCGTTAGCGGTGCTACATGTTCCGACTTTATGTTGCTCGCCGCCAGTTGGGGCTGAGGCTGAGGCTGAGACTGAGACTGAGACTGAGACTGAGACTGAGATTGAGATTGAGATTGAGGCGTTTCTCCCGACCCCCCTGCACCTGAATTCGGACCACCCATTGCAGGCCTATTCGCTATTTGATACAAAATAGTCTTGATCTTCCTCGCCTGCTGATATTTCGTGACGCGCTCCATCTGAAGCGACTCGATATTTGCAGCGTTCCCGGCAGATTGTGCTTCCTGGAGTTTGGCTTCGATGACTTTAATCTCGACTTCGAGAGCTTTTCCGCGCTCGACTACCATGTTGACATTGGGGGGAATGTGTGTTGCGTAGGGGGAGCATTAGGGTTTGGAGCATTGGAAGGTGGGTGTGCGACAGGTTTTGCAGGGGGTTTTGCAGGGCTAGGTGCAGATGTCGTGGTTGCGTGCGGAGGTATGGGAGAAGGTTGGAGCAATTGCGGACGTGGTGGAGGTAGGGTGGACGGTGGGACAGAAGGTGTGAGAACCTGCCGAGAAGGTGGTCTCTGGCCTACTGGACCGGCACCTCCTCCAGGAGGACGCGGGCTAAGTGCTGGTGAGCTTTTCTCGCTGACCCTTCTGTCGTTTTGTATCTGGTGTTTGAGGAGATTCGTTTGAACGCTTTGCAACGTCTAGGATCTGTGAGCGGGGGAATAGGAGGGAGGTTCGTGAAAGCTCACTGAGTTTTGGGGTCTGCACATGCGACAGTGGGGGAAATCCGGAAAGCATGAGTATATGTGGTGGGTAGACAGTGAACCAGGGATTTGTTTGTAGAGCTGGTGCTGAGGTCTGAGGAAGAAGAGTTTTGAATGACAATGCGCCAGACATAAATGTGAACTGACGGCAGACTGGACATCCTGGAACTGTTGTATTTGTTGTAGTGTGACAAGACTCAGATTGATTTTTCTCTATGAGGCAGGTCAAATTAATGTGAAAAGTTGATTCGAGGGTACTAACCTTCTTGAGTTCTACTGGTAGCGTGTCCCATGATACTGAGTCGAGATACGGAAGGGTATTCCGTAAGGGCCTTTGCGCAGAATCGGGTGGACTTCCAGCGATATGTATTATATGCGAAACGTGCATTCGACCATCCTTCTGACCAGTCAAGGCAAGCGAGTCATGCAAGATGTCAAAGAGCTTCCATCATAGCTTAGAGTGAGAAGCGGGTCAAGATACGGTGGTACGCACCTCGATAGCAGCAACCATTCCCTCCAGGGCGGATAGCCCCCTTGCACCAACTACTGAACCAATTCCTAATTTCCTGGGATCCTCACGCAATTCCTTCATCACAAAATTTGGGGAGAGAAAGAAACGTTGTGATAACAGCGGACTGGGATATGTATCCGCAGCGCCATACGTCACTAAAGCTAGTCGGAACTAAACATATCATCCATACAGGCCCATACTCAGCATGTTGTTTGTCAGAAGAATGATCCGGGTAAGACTTACATTATGCCCGTGGTATGCTTCGTTCAGACGCTTGAGAATTGGCAGGATGTACGCTGTGAGTACACGAGTCCATTCTGTAGCGAGTGCTAGGGAGGCATCGATGACACAGGCGACAGCGAGTACTTCCTGACTTGCATTGGACTGAGCTTGAACTTCAAGTTGTGATACTTGTTGCTGCGATTGCAACTGATTGAACATGGGAGAAAGTTAGGAAAAAGTGACGATCACAGCCTCACAGGACCTGCTTCAAGGTCCACAACGAGCCCGCAACGAGCCCACAAATGATGTTAAGCAGAATATCGCGGAGTCAAATTATGATGGAACGTGGTCAATGCTGGTTTCACGGGGGTTTCGATGTTAGGTCGATCCGACGGATGCGCGTTCCTCGATAATAATATGCAGGATCTTTGTCACTCCATCACTGCTTGATCACCGCTTCGGTTACTAGTAACTACTACACAGGGATTTCATTTAATGAAATGACATTGCAAGGGTCCAAACAGTGGTATCAAGCTGAATAAGTACTGTTGTCGATAGACCAAGGGGACAACAGGCTCCAGAGTAACTAAAGTAACCCGAGATAACATGTAACGAGTGTCTATGTAGTGACTAGGCGACACAGCAGCCATGAAGTTGATGTGATCATCGCACATCAAAAGTCCATTTACGACTGTCCTTTGCCTCACATCGGTATAAAACGTACGCCTTATAACATTATGAAGTATGCACCACCACCGATGCCAAGCATCGTGCTTGCTACCAGTCCATACCAACCGCTGGAGAGTGAAAATGCCCGGCGGGTTGCACCAGACGTTGCTGCTGTGCCTGTCCCGACTGAAGCCACATACGATGAGTAGTTGAGGACTGTGCCGGTAGTTGTTGGAGTTGGTAATACAGTGGCAGGCCCTGTAGGTGTGAAGGTTGCTAACACGGCGACTGTGGAGCCAGCTGCGTTTGTTGTGGTATAAGTGTATGGGGTAGGTCCCCCTGGTGTTAAGACTGTTGTTCCGGGTTGTTCTACAGGGCCTTGATTCTGTGTAGTCGAAGTAGTTGCTATAGTTTGGAGTGGCCCAGTGGTAGTAGGAGTTGAGAGGGTATTTGTGGTAAGAGAGTTCGTAGTCAAGGTTTGCCTGTTACATTATGAGCATGTCCTTCAAGGCTAAATCATGAACAACGAATTCACTCACAGTGTTTGTGTTGTAGCAAGACCATTAACAGGGTTTGTCGTAACGACTTCCACGACTGTAGCGCCGGCGCTGGTCCAGTAAGACAAAAACTCAGTGTATAAAGGGCTGATAATCATACATATTTGTGACAGTCAATGTCTGAGCATGTGCCCACGACGCCCACAGCGCGATTACAGCTAGTACAACGCTCTTCATCGCGTTCTTGACAAGAAAGATGCGCTTGTCGTTGTCTGGGTAGCCGCGAGCGTGGCATGCCGCAGTGCTTAGGTATCAACCCATCGGCAGGATACCTTCCATATTGGGATATATTCTGCCGAAAGTTACCCCGTATTACGGTCGTGAGAGTGCCATAAAGGGACAACTTCCCCGAATTTTTCTCTTTCTTGCAGAGCTCGTGACTAGTTTTTTTTTGGGAGATGATAGATCGATGGCGGCAATTCTGCCTGCATCGCCTTCCCCGTACATCTACTGCGTCTTGTTTTATTTTTCTGCGGCCGTTTTCTGCGTCGTACACACTTCAAGCTAAGAAGAAGAACATGCCTCCCAAGAAGGCTCCTGCTGCAGAGAAAAAGGTATTGCTTGGTCGTCCAAGCAATAACTTGAAGATCGGCATCGTTGGTATGCGCTTATCATCCTGGAATCGAATTCAGACTCAATCACAATCCGTACAGGTCTTCCGAATGTTGGAAAGTCATCTTTCTTCAATGTTCTATCCGACACCGGTGCGGATATAGCCCTTTGTGGGCACGCGTCCGAGTCTAAAATATTTTAGATTTGGGAAAGGCTGCCAACTTTCCATACGCAACAATCAACCCAGAAGAAGCGCGCATCCCCGTGCCGGATGTGCGTTTTGATTGGCTTTGCGATCTGTACAAGCCCGCCTCGCGCGTGCCTGCTTTCCTCACTTGCATTGATATTGCAGGTCTTACTGCAGTACGTTCATGACCCATGTACCCTGATTTGTCCACCGACATATTGCCAGGGTGCATCAACAGGTGCAGGGCTTGGAAATGCGTTCTTGTCTCACGTTCGCGCTGTCGATGGTATCTTCCAGGTCGTCCGTGCCTTTGATGACGCCGAAGTCATCCATGTAGAGGGCGATGTTGACCCTCTTCGTGACATGGAGATCATTCAGACCGAGCTTCGCCTCAAGGATATTGAATGGGTCGAGAAGCACCTTGACGGCCTCAAGCGCTCTGGTCGATCGCTTGGCAACAACAGTTTGGCGGATAAGGCTAGGAAAGAAGAAATCGTGCGTCTCGCTGGAAATGTTGTTTGGTGTGTAGCTGGTGCGGACTCACGCTGTAGGCAACAGTTGAGAAAATCTACAAGGCCCTTACCGTCGATGGCAAGGATGTCAGGAAGTGCGAGTGGAACAATAAAGAGGCAAGTCTTCATTATCCTCGCCATTATTTTTTTTGCCAGCACTTTGGTTTGTACCCTGATGAAAAAGAGCCTTTGCTCGATAACCCAGCTCGTTGAGGAGGGAGTAACGCCCCACTATTCCTTTGAGATAATTGTTTTTTCTGATTCCTTCTTTGCTGTCGTAATCTTCATCTACCACACTAACCGCCATCTTACAGGTAAATATCATATTCTCGTTACCGCTTTTAGGCGATGAAAAAGAGCTTGGCTCGATAACCCAGCTCGTTGAGGAGGGAGTAACGCCCCAACATTCCTTTGAGATAACTATTTTTCTGATTTATCCCTTGTCTTCCGCAATCTTTGTCCACCGTGCTGACCGTCGTCCTACAGGTAAATATGATATTCTCATCATCGCTTTTGAACGATGAAAAAGAGCTTTGCTCGATAACCCAGCTCGTTGAGGAGGGAGTAACGCCCCAATATTCCTTTGAGATAACTATTTTTCTGATTCCTTCTTTGTCATCTGCGGTCTTCATCTACTATACTGACCACGATCCTACAGGTAAACACCATATCTCGATATCATTTTTGAGCTACGAAAAGAGCATAAACTCGCTTAATTCAGCGGGAGTAACGCCCCAACATTCAATAATGTTCTTTCTACCCTCTAACCTTCACAAACTTGCTACTTTCTTGGCACACGCTAATCCCACCGTAGATCGAGGTCGTGAACGGCCTTACCCTACTGACCGCCAAGCCTATCACTTACCTCGTCAATCTCAGCGAGAAGGACTACATCCGCAAGAAGAACAAGTGGTACAGCTTTTATCCAACTCTCTTTGTCACCACAGCCCACACCCGCATACAGGTTAGCCAAGATCAAGGGCTGGATTGATGCACACAACCCCGGGGACCCTCTCATCCCCTTCTCTGTATCACTGGAGGAACGTCTTGCGCAACTTCCAGACGATGAGCGTGCTGAGGCTCAAAAGGAACCGGGAACACAGAGTGCCCTCGGAAAGATAACACAGGCGGGGTACTCCAGTCTTGACGTGGGTCTCATCCGTTGGTCGCTGATCGGTCATTGATCCGAATTTTTAATCACAGTTAATCCGTTACTTCACCTGTGGACCTGATGAAGTGCGTGCATGGACGATTCGCAAGGGGACAAAGGCGCCTCAGGCGGCCGGTGTTATTCAGTATGCTGATTTTTATTTTTATTCTACCTCTTCTCACACTTATACAGCTCGGACTTTGAGAACAAGTTCGTTTGTGGTGAAATCATGACGTACGAGGACCTCAAGGAGAATGGAAGCGAAGCTGCTGTGAAGGCTGCAGGTAAACTGAGACAGCAAGGCAAGCCTTATGAGAGTGGGTTCTTGCCGTCGTTTCCTTGAGACTATCACTAATGGACGGACGACAGTGGTGGACGGAGATATTGCTTACTGGAAATCTGGTTAATTCGACGGATGGTCAAGAAGTTGGCGCTGTTGTACGTTGCATACATACTTGTGCTAGATGAGGCAAGTAAGATAATCGCTTTGTTTGATGATCGATGTTTTGTGAAGAATCCTGATGTCACATTGGGGTCACGTCGCTTCTCCTTGTCATTGACGCAGATATTGCGCTGCATTGAGGCGACACTGCCTCATTCAAGTTCGTGGCAACAAAGTTTACAAATGTTGAGCTTGACTATACCAGACGCTAACAGCAGTCCGAATCCATCATATGTCATCATAAAATGGCCGGGAAAAATCAGGCCATTCGGGACGGCTTGGCAAATGAAAGTCAGGTAAAATAAATAAGACATGCATATGTATATGTAGGACATCACTGCACTGACTAGCAAAGGAGATTTACTACCATACGATGATCAATCCTGCTGTTATTCATTACGATGGCACCTATCATAGTCATGCCGAGCCGATGACAGACTAAAGGGCAGGAACTACCAATAATTGTATTATTCAGTGGAATCAACTTATAAAAATGCAGTCCGAAGTGTATTAATATTTACAGCAACGACTTTACATTCACTGAATTAGCCCAGAGGTAAGTACGTTGGGAAAAATGCACACATTCTCATCAAACCGCTCGGAACTGGAGGGAGCAAGAGCTTAAGGGACAGGCAATCTAATGGCGCCTGGCAGATATTGTAAACGTGATAGCTAGCGCTCTACTTGAATAGGTGATCAACATACAGAAAATGTCGAGAAGTACCATAAGAACGGTATCCATTAAGAAGATGACCTTTCCGACATGACCTCCTCCAGCTTGTACCTTTTTACGGTAGTATGGGCTTTGATAAACCCATCGAAAAATGCGACATAGGCGTCATATGCCTCAGGACATGGTTTCAGAAATTCGAGGATATTTTGATGTGCTTGCACAGTTTTCTCGATGAGTTCCTGGAGAGCGTTCTGCTTGGTAAGACCACGAGAGGCTGCCATGAGCGTCAGGTAGTTTGCGGTGTCGCCTTGGATCTCCTCTTTGTAGTGTGACAATATATCACTGAATCATGGCAGGTCAGAAAGGTTAACAGAAAATCATTGATGTAGTAGTCACTTTACGTGGTTTAAGACTATGGCTAGATCCGGCATGCATTGAACGTATTCACGAAGCGGGAGTGTGCAAGGAAAAACACAGTATGCGTACGCATACGGTATGCCTGATAGCATCCTAGAATACTCAGGGTATGAGGGAGTCCGCGGCGAGATCTTTTCAAATGAATGGTTAAAGATCAACGCTTCCTTTATATGAGAGATACCATACCGTCATATCTTTGGTCTCATTGTCAAGTAAAATGGAAGACACAAAGTCGAGCGCAGACGTCACGATAAAATTCGACACCGGTGCAGAATAATAACAAGCGACCTCCCGCAAGAGCCCGTCATACGCACTCATAACTGGATGCCCCTGCGGCTGGCAATTCGCGAAGCGCTCGTTGAAATGGTACACATGCACTATATATTCTGCCCTGATCATCATGTCGTTCGATGCAGGCGCCTACGGCGGTGAAGAGGCAGATCCACATCTTGGTTGCATTGTCCGGGAGGTGGTCGTAAGCGTTGGACATTACGGCCGCGCCAATGGCCATATATGGGAGGATGGCGTCCATCGGATAGCCGCGCGTGATGGCTTCCTGAGAGCATTTGGAGTGCCACGCCTCATCAAGTGTGGTATTCTTATATTGCAAACCGCAACGCTGAAGAAATTCGGCGATGGACTGGCGGATGCTTGCTAGAACCTATATTCCACATGAAAATCAGAACATGGAAAGGTATCAAAACGCAAGCACGTACTTCGCCATCGAGGGTGGATGTGGACAGGCTGTTCATTGTTATTGTGAAAGCTTGCAGAAAGAAGATTGGCAAGAGAATGGCTTCGATGGGTTGCATGTACCCTGCAGTACTTATACTCCATGACGTATGCCGATTTATTGGGGAACAAGAGTCTTGTAAGCTATGCACGGCCGTCCAAGCATGCTATGACCGGAGCGATCGTTCACGTTGATCTTGTGCAGATCACGTTGCAATTATGACCGGAAACATCGTGCCGGATGTAATATCTTTAGAGGGAATAATCGGATCAGATGTAATCCTTTCCGAGTTGGGAGCTTGAAACATAGGTAAGTATGCAAATAATTATCTCCAATATTACTCACTTGGTGAGAGCATAAGGGTTGCTGCGCTGTGGTGCTATCAGACGGATAAAAGACTGTGTGCGCTCCGAGGACTCGGAGTCCGTCGACTACTAAGGAGAGCGTGACTGCAGAAAGAATGAAAGTGAAATCAGAGGTCCGCGGGTGTCGCGATCTGACTCGGATATCCAACGTTATTGTCCTCCGGTTCTGGACACATGTATGACAGCGGACCAGTCTACTACATGCAAGGACAAGCTAGCTATAAATGCAGGTCCTTGTGACATGTAATGGGAAAAATTCGGTGGCCCGGAGACGGGGTCAGTTTTGCCAGTTGCAACTACATGTGCATTGTGTACGGCATAGACATCTTATATAATGTTGCCTCGTCCCACCTCAACCTTGGCCTGTGGCCCGGGTATTATTCCTTGTTCGACCCGATCCAACTCGTCCAAATCAAAAGCATTTCCCTCCAGCATTTAGTTCGGCATGGTCGCAGGCGCTAGGGTGGAAGAAAGAACCACTACTGGCTCAGGCCGGCGCCAGGCTCCCGTCTGCTCTTCCCTCTAGCTGCCGCTGTTCAAGTTTATCACCCTGACCAGCACTGGAATTTCATGTCTTCCTGCTAGTCAACGATAGTCATCAATCACTCTTCTACCAAAGAAGCACTTCGATTTGTCAAAGGCAAGCTGCCAGTGGTCTGCTACGATTTAGTGAATGATACAAATTGCGATTTCATGCACTTGCATATTGCCCTTTGATCGTCCTTTGTCGACTTTCCATACGCCTTGATACACGGTACAAATGCGCCATGTCGCTAGCTTTTATTGTCGGCACATAATGGCGCCTGGGCCGCAATTTGACCGACAGTCACGGTGTTAGTTGACATGTTCAATTGTCTAGCAATTGGCAAGCAATATTAGCAGCGACGTTACATAAACCAGCGCTATCACGGCTCGTCATGCATCAACACAGATACTGCAATCGGGCTGGGGGCACACCACCACGGATCGATTTCATTGAGTACACCGTGAGCCATTTGTAACATGATCATCGAGGATTCCACTGTATGTGTTACACGTTTTTTCTACCACATTCTATTCTAGAATTTATAACCAAACGATCTCCACTTCTTTTTCAAAGTCATGTTTGCAACAAACCGTCAGAATCTTGTCTGTAACCTCCCTTCTCCAGTGGTTGCGCACGGTATCCAGGCCAGGGCGACAAAACCGCCTCAAGAGGAAACATATATAAATTTGTCCCGCTTTCAACTTTCCTTTCATAGCGTCATCATGGTCATGCTAGTTAACAACCCCGATCGCCCATTCCGTCGTAGATGCAGGTGGAAAGAAAGGAGATTGCACGACCAGCTCGTCGAGCGGTGATGTCATGAGGCCACCGGCCGGACAGGAAAGGAATACTGACTGCCAGAGGCTCTGGTCAATGGAGGCAGGGACCATGAATAGCTTGACCTGCACGCCACGCTTTGTAATTGAGAAGTCGTCATCGCCACAACCCTCTCCCCACCATGAGATCTCGTGGTTCTTGAGCATCTCGAGTGCTGCCTCGTCTGTTGTGCGATAACAGCAAGGCCCTGTTGGACATCCAGGGAGTCCGCCGGCCCACACAAGAATTTGCCATTCCTTGCACTTCTCGATAAGCTCTGCCATGAATCTTTTAAAAGCTCGATCTCCTTCTCCATATGCGACCGTCATGGTGATGTCGAAGATGCCGGTCAGAGAGTAGGCAACATCTTCAACACGGGTTGTCTTCCAACTCGCTGCCCAGCTCATCTTCTCCCAGGCACGATTCGGCCCGGAGCGAAAGTTGCGCAGGTCGTTTTCAGGGATCTTGGTAGCGCGGTAAAGAGCACGAACAACCTTCGCGTCATCTTTGTCGTTAGGATTTTGTGTAAGGGGCGTCCAAGTAGGACCATAATAAAACCTCATCCTAAGGGGTGCAAGAAGTTCTTGCAAGGTCCAGCCACGAAAGAACCACTCGTCGTTTTCCAGCGTATCCCATGAATTTGTCTGAGCTAGGTGCACTATGCATATATAGGCCTCGCGGTACCACATGTACATCGACCGAATTGCTTCATCAAGCTCTGAACTGCTTTCTTTGTTGATGCAGCAGGTATCAGACCATGCGAAATCACAGCCATACTCCTTTGCTTTTGCGCAAAACTTATCCAGTTTCTTGTAACCCGCTCCTTCGCGTTTTAGGTCTTGGAATGTCGGCTCCGATTCTCCCCATCGGTGTGATAGAATGGCGTATTTGAGGAGGTTGACGACAGCTGACTCTATGGAAGACTCCCTTGACCATCCCCCACACTGACGGATGTCCTTCCTCAGTGATCGTCTCCGGTTTCAGTATTGTAATGAGTTTGTCCCGCGAGATCAATTCCATAGTTGGGATATGGATCAAATGTGATGGAACTAGATCAAAAGCACGTCGTTTGAACTCGGCCACAACAGCAGGAATGCCATTGTCGTGATCATGCTGATCAACAGGAGGAATGCCTTGGTCGTGATCATGCTGATATGGCGATCAGCTTGCATATAGGCACTTGTTCAGCAAACGTACCGCCACAACTTCCGCAGTCCGCGGCATTCCCATCCTTAGTGTTTCACGTACAAAGACCAGTGTCTGATCAGCGGAAGGGCGGTCTGCTGGTGGAAAAGAGAAGCATTTTCGGAGGAAGGATGAATCTTGGGCCTGATCCTCGATTACTGGTGGCAGTGGTGGTACCTTTCTTGCAAGTAATTGGAGGGGAATGTGGTTTGATCGAATTGACCACCAGGGCAACTGCCCAGAGAGCACCTGAGATGATTGTTAGATACATAATGTAGGTTTGAATGACGATGGACGAGTTGATGTACATGAATCATATTGCAATCAAAAGACCATACATCACTTTTGGAAGTGGGAAAGGTCTCTCCATCATCATAAACCAACTCGGGGGCTATCCAGCGAATGGTGGCTGAACGGGTGTCGTTCGAACCAGACTCTGATTTGGAGGCGATCTCGTTAAGCCTCTTGGAAAGCCCGACGCCCGTTACAAAAGCACGCCCATGCGAGTCAATCAAAATGTTGTCCTGACGCACCAGCACATCAGAGATAATCAGTGCTCATCTGCCCTGTTAGTTTTGGTAATGACTCACACCTGTTAGATCTCCGTGAACCACTGCGATAGCATGCACTAGAATAAAAAATCCACTCAAGAGTCCATACTTTTCTAAACGAGTGCAGACATACAATATTGCAGTGCCGAGGCGATATCCTGCAGCTGAACATACATAAATTCGTTTGTACATGAATCCCATCATATTCAAAGGAACTTACCAAGCGAAATCGTTCACCACGCTCTAAGGACTCGTATTCACGCAAGAAGTTGGTCAAGCTCCCATTCTCCATCCACGGAAACACAAGGCTAGGTAAATGGCCATGTCCGTATACGTATCCGAGCACAGGCAAAATATGTTCGTTCTGAAGTCTGCCCCATACTTTGATTTCTTGTAGTAATTCGTTGTATCTCTCGGTAAGATCCAAGATGTTCTTAGGTTGTAGTACCCTGATAACCTTGACTGCCACCGTGACCTGAAGATATGAGAATTATCAATTCACGCTGATTGTTTGACTGACACATACTGGAGAATGATTCGGCCGGTCCCAGGTGCACTTGCAGATATGATACTTATGACTATTGGTAGCCTCTGGATATTCACACTTGACTATGTGATCAGTAAGATCAGGAATGCAACTGCCGGAGACACGGGGATTCAGTGAGTGGTTCCATAAGACGGAGCAAGCGCGCACGTAGAAATTTCGAACACTTTAAACATAGATTCAGCCGAGAAATCCGATGCGATAGTTTGCAGGAGTTCACCTGAGTCGACTCAAGAATTGGGTTGGCTACAGTTCGAATGTTCAACGTTCACCGCCACCACTGATGCGGTACTTTCTCTGTCGGACCCTGTCGGACCGAGGGTTGCAAGTTGGTTATGTAATTTCGAAATCTGCTACCGTGGTCTCCACGACGTCGATCTGCATCTGTCCCACAATATTAATATTTATGCCTCCGCTGAAATGTTGTAGGATCGACTCCTACATCGTTCAATGACATCCCTCGAGCTATTCTACGCCACAAAGAGGACAAGATTGCGCGAGCATTACTCGTGATCGGGAAGTAGTCATATTCAAGTTGACGAATTGCAGACGGACGATCCAAGACCATTTACCACTCAGAGTGACATTTACTCGTTTGGTAGCATCATGCTTCAAGTAGGTCGTTCCCTCTTATCAATGCAGTTCGATAAGCTGTCCTGCAGGTTTTGACAGGAAATCTGCCCTGGTGTCACTTGACCTGCGAATACCAGATGTATCAAGTGATTTTTGAGTGGAAACAGCATCCTCGTCCAGCTCACTGCGACCGCATCACCGACCAGTACTGGAATTTTATGACCTCCTGCTGGTCAGAGAATCCCTTCGAACGCCCTTCTGCTATAGAAGCACTTCAATTTATTGATCACGAGCTCGTTTTATACGATCAGGGCAGCGTTGACGGCGGACAGCACCCTGTCTTGGTTTCCATTCGTGGATACACACCTCCACTCATTGGTCTAGTAGGGCAGAATGCACCTTCTGCCCTGCCTTCCACACGACTCTCTCAAACGTATTTACAACCGCTCCAGCCTGTCCGCTTATTGGTCCAATTTCTACTCTACATCTCAAAGATATTCACATTCAACAGTACCGGACGATCCAAGACCACAGTCAGTGAGATCGCGACAAACTAAACATTCATTTATGCACGTACACGATACTTTATGCAGAACATAGCTACCGAACCAAGAACACCCCACATAGTTATGCCACTAATACTACACCCACCGCTCCAATATCGAGGGGAAATACATTCGCTGGCCGAAAGTTCACAGAATGCACCAAGAATGTAGCGCAGCGCGAAAACCAGACGCACACCTCACATACGTACCATCTCTCATACTATAAGCACTCCCTTCGCACAATGTGAGCGTCGGGAGTAAGCCCCCCGCAATATAACAGGGCTACCTTTGTGTATGCTCGTACAGCGGTCTTAGAAGTGGTAGGAAGAACAAGAATAAATGTTTGGTGGAAGCCCCGGAGGGGCAGGGGCAACCCGGCCCCGACCTGTGCAAAAGAGAGCTGCGATTCCCATGGCAGTAGGAGCGAGAGCGACGCGGCGAAGTGAGTTCAGATCCCAAATTGTAGGAGCCGCAAAGCGACGGTGAGGAAAGCGGATTTGGAAAGAAGAGGTAGGCATCAGTGTAAGCAAGAGTGCGGGCATCAGCGTGAGCAAAGATGCGGACAAGAGCAACGAGAGAGAAATCCGACGAAAGTGTGTGACGGCAAACTTCCTGCATGAGTAAAATTGAGAGGGCGGCGCGGAAGCATTCTCGGATGCCACCCATGGCAGGCAGGCTTGAGCCTGCTGAAGCGTGGCGCGAGGACTGTGGTAGTGTGTGGTGCGGTGATAAGAGAGGCCACGTGCTGCACTGCCGAGGTCACAGTCATAGTTCTACACGCTACATTCGTAAGCACCTGCTTTGGGGTATAAAGCTGTAGTTTTTGAATCGCGCGTAGTGGGTTGATTGGGCGCCGCCCATGCCGTCGACCATCTCTTTGCAGACTTTGAGGGAGGAGGAAACGGCTTTTGGTTCCGCCTGAGGATATATCCAAAATTGATTGCACGAGTCAGCAGCGCGAAGCATACAGATAAAGTTACACTGACCATTGAACAATGACCCGTGGAGCCGATATTAAGAATTGGACCATTCTGGTCATAATTTCGCTTACCGTCCGGTGTTGGCAGTAGAAGGTTGTGCGATGCAATATAAACATACCTGACAAACCATTTCTTTACAAACATCCTACACATTCAGCATAGACAGGCACCGCTGTGCGTGAAGGAAGGCGTACGTATGGTTATTCTTGAAGATTCGAATGAGGTATAGTCAATAGGAGCAATACTTGTATAGTTCCCACGACTATAATTTCTTGTACAGACACAGACTGCCCAAATCCCAGACTTTCTGTTTGTTTCAAGTGCGACCTGTGATCACGATGGGCAATCCGAATCCTGATTGCAGGAGGCTCGGGAGAAACACCTCAGCTTCACCCTCAACAAGCGAACAGCACACCGGAAGGCTCCTGGCCCATATTATCTACCTACGGAGCAGAAGCCACCGGCTCACAGATCAACAGGCATTAATGCACGTCGTGGAGGCGCATTCGTGAAAAACAGGGTTCGAAGTCCAGAGCTCGGCCGCCGCTCAAATGCGAAGTTGATCAACAAGACCGTGACTTCATAACGTGTTAGTGAGTACGATGGCGAAAAACGAACCGCGAATATTCGGGTCCTTTCTCCATAAAATTCCTTGACCCTTCTGGACTGAGCCTGTGAGGGAGGGGCAGCGTCTTGTCTTTTTGAACATTCTCCTGTCTACAACTATAAAAAGTACCTGGTCTTGTGTCGCCTTCGCCGCGGAGGGAGTTATAAGTTAGGAGGACTTACACGACGAAAACATCATGGCTTGTCAAAAGCCTTTCTGCTAGTGGTGCACCTGAATAGGAGTAATGGTCCGCCTACGTCGTGGAGAGTGCTCGGTTCCCATGTCCGGTTCCTTATAATTCTCCATGTCCCACCCAATTTTTGTACCATTATGTACTCTTTGTTATTCGAAGTCAATACGCTATCGCTTTCACTTAGTCTAACGGCAGTGCTAGCCGTGGTGCTGTGTTTCAAGACGACCCCGGCATATGCTATGGCTCTCTCCTCTGACTATCCCAACGCTTACTAGTACACAACCTAACTCTGAGAAACGCTTAGGGGACATCCGAACGCATGTGCTCAAGCGCCTCACTTCGAAGTCTAGAGCATGCGTCGAGCGTCTGAGGACATGCCAATTGGATAGGCCTGACCTGTAAGTCACCTCGCACCTCTCCTTGCTTCACCCACCAATGCGCATGCGGCAGCTCTCGACAACCAACCTCCAAACTCGCAGCTGTGCTTGTTTTACTGTACGAGCAAGCTGGAGAGCTTAGGGTCTTATTGACGACCCGGTCCAAGTCACTGCGTGCACATCCAGGACAGACAGCATTACCTGGCGGCAAAGCAGATGAGGGAGATGAGAGTTTAGTCTGGACTGCTGTAAGTACTGCGGTTAATCCGCTCATTCATTCATTCATGCTTATATATGCGCATGCTTTCATACAACTCAGCTTCGCGAAGCAAATGAAGAAGTTGGTCTTCCTCTTCCGCCCACATCGTCGAATATACATTTTATAACAACGCTCCCGCCCTTTCTCTCTGCATCGCAGTTGTTGGTGACCCCCGTCGTCGTGCTTTTATCTTCGCCGCTTCCACTCGTCACTTCGTCACCGTCATTCTCGACTTTGGACAGCTCCTCGAATGCAAGCTCCAACACACCGCCCAAGTCTTCTTCTCACCCAATCCTCACTTCCCTCACTCCCTCTCTCACAGAAGTCGACAGGATATTCGATCATCCACTCGAAGCGATGCTGGACCCTCGTCTCTTGTTGAACAAAGGGGAGTCGCTCGTGGATGTGGGAGAGGACTGGCCATATAGTGCTGGGGATGTGTATGTGAGTTATCGGCTTTTTACCATATGCTTTTTCAATCCGAGTTGCATTTCTGTGACGGACACCTTGCTGCTGTCTTGTCACTTCTCACCCTTCCATGCTAATACCTTTTGCCACGCAGAACCCATCCGACGTCCGCCTCGACGCATTCGACGGACTCATATATAGGATGCACCGGTTCAGAACATGTGCATCTCCTATCAAGGGGCTTACTGCTGATATTCTAGTACGTCTCTCTCTTTCCCTCATGTCGCATACTCTTTTCTCCCGACCAGTCACATCCGACGCTAATACCATATGCAGATCACAGTCGCTGAACTCGCATACGGGCGCAAACCCGTCTACGGACGATACCCATCTGGTCCAAGTTCAGGGTCATCATCCAAAGACACGAACTTGGAAGGGGAGACATATCAGGCACTTGTGAGGAGGCGTATGGAAGAGAACGAGAGGGCTTTTGCAGTTGCTGTTGAGGAAGGCGGGCAGACGTGATTGACCGGAAAGGCGGGTGGGGCTAGTGGGAGCGCATTTCTGGCAGATGCATGATCTCATTCTTTCCGTTTTAGACTGACCGTTGGAGATATGCGACTCACCATAGACATAGAATCAGTATCGTAGTATATGCTGTAGCATAATCACTAGTTCTATACGTGCTCTATGCACACATATTATGAATGGTAGTCTAACTCAGAACGTATCACTCCCACCAAAAGATGACCGATTACATATCCCCCAAGCTTCAAGTTTCAGTACAAGTTTATATAAAAGAGATGCCATGCAAATGGTCCATGGGTAATACACAATCCAATGACATCAAGCCTATTATAAGCGCTAACGAGAGGAGCAATTGTAAGCATGTTGCGGGTATATATCCGCGCGTAAACATCATCTACATAAATATAGCCAATCCGGTCCACCATCATGATAAAGGGTACACTATCGGTACCCAGTGTACGGTTCGTAGCTAGGTTTCGTCGGAGCCGGCGCGCCCGTAGCCGTGCTCGTCGCCAGCGATGCCCGTACAGCAGCATATGGATCCGCATATTGCATCGTCCTACTCACTTTCGGCGCTCCAGATCCAGAATCTGAGGCAGTGGGCGCATATGACGCCGACACGCCCCCGAACCCACTCGGTGCAGGGTCTGAAAACGCGCCATACGCGTCCATACTAGGTCTAGAAGTAGCGTAACCCGTGTTGGTGCTTGTAGTAGGAGCGGTGGTAGTAGTGGGTGCGGTTGAATATGCAGATGTGCGATTAGCACTTGAGTCTGCTGTTGAGAAACGATTTGTGTTGATTGAGGGTAGGTAGGTTGTATTGGTATTGGTGGGAGCGGCTGAGAGGCGGTTGGAGTCTGCGAATGGAGATGCGGAGGCGTTAGAGTTGTCGTACTGTTGATTGGCGGGGGTATGTGGGTGCTGTGTTGGTGGCGACGGGTTGGTATGAGTGTCCGCCTTCTTCTTCTTCTTCTACTGCTTCTACTTCTTCGCCTTCTTCGATGTCAGAGTGGGGACGCGTGAATGGGAGATCGCGGGGTGGGGATGTGAGGTTTCCGGAGCGCCAGTCGATGATAAGCAAGATAAAGGATGCGAGCCAGAAGCCTGGAGTGACAGCGTGAGATAAATGAATAGAGTGGAACGTGACACAGAAACGTACCAAACGCTAACCAAAAGAATATAGCACCTGCTTTCTTCGTACTGCACCAGCCAGGGAGAGCGCTCGTAAACGCGTCGCCAAGGCTCGCATGAGGATCGTTATCCGCGTTTTTGCAACCAGGCTCTGTCCACGCTGAGATTGTGGTGATGAATCTGTACAGCCTGAAGTGAGGACTAGGATTAGGGGTGGTAAGATGAATACGCACGCGATGAGGAGGCTGAAAATGCAGCCGCTGCCAACGAGGATGAAGCCGACGCGTACTTCTTTGAGGGTACGGGCTAGGCGAATGAGTTTGTCGTATTTCTCGTATACGACAGGTACGAAGAGGAGAAATAGGGATAGGAATATTCCTGTGACGCTCACGAAGATCGCGAATCCTGAGAGACCAGCTGTGGAGAGTCAGTATGGTTTACAATTGTGGCAGTAATGAACTTACAAGGCCCTATTCCCCACTTTGCTTGAAAACTGGCTACGCTTGCAAAGCAAGCCATTGCGAGAAAGTTGAAGAATGTCTGAGAAATGTGAAATATGATGGCAGGCTTGCTTATAATCATCTAAAAGGCGGAAAAGGTGTCAGCATGATTGATAGAGTGTTGTAAGTAAATATCAATGACCGCGAGCCAAACGATCCATAAAAGGGGCAAGAAAAGGAGGAAGACCAGTGTTCCAGACTGATCCATGAAGAGGCATAGAGGGAAGTTGTGTATATTACGTAAATGGTTCAAGTCGAAGCGCAGAGCAGGTACAAGGACAAAGTTGGCTGGCGTTTGCTGGCAGCTACGGGGTACAAAATAATGATAAGAGACTCACGTCGTCCTCGTAGTTGACCATACCAAGCCCATTTCCTATCCCGACTGCTGCTGGTACTGTGCTGGTCTTTGACTTCCTTGGTAACATGCGGTCAAGGGCATTTTGAAGTGTATCTATGAATGACATCTTGGATGTGTGGTATAGCAAGCGAATTTAGATGATATGGGGATGAATATAATGGTATGTCAGTGGTATGTCAATGCTTTTCTTGTTCACCACAGTCCGCAGTGATCGCAGTAGATGCTGGAGTTCGCTGTGGTCCCTTGACCTGATCATCGCCTACCCACGTGCTAATTGCTTACGTTAACACTAACACATGATGTACCTAAGTTAATCACTGACCATTGACTATTGGCTATACCAACCAACCACTAACTACTACGAGTACTGACGAGCATTTAGGATTATGCGCAAGCCAGTTCGAATCGTCTGTTGACTTTTGTTTCTCTACAGCATCTAAATCTAACATTAGTAAATAACCCGCCTGGCAGTGAACGCGAGGCAAGACACGTGTTGGACAGCATATCAACCTGGCCTGGCGCCACAATGAATCTCCCCACATCTCAGATACCCTTCTTCATCGCCTGGTGCGCATCTTATTATCAAACACACCAATCATGTTTTCCTTGTCATCTCACGACGAGCCATACCGCGCTTCTCTTAGAGACAATCGCGGTGTTCCCACTCTCCTCTCCCCTTGGGAGTACCTTGACGACTATGGGATTGTTCACCCTTCAGGATGCGACGTCTGCTCTTCATACATGAAGCATGTCGCTGATGCAAGTTATTCCTCACATCAGCCAGCTTTTCAAATCGCCTTCCAAGACAGGAAGCGCACGCGCGAAGACCTCTTTAACAAGGGCATATCAGAGGGTATTCGCCGTCAAAAAGAGGAAAATAGAGTCCTCGTCGATGACATTGATCGTTATCGCCTTGAGCGTAACCAAGCTCGTGAAGAGCTATCTACTCTTCGTTCTCAGCTAGACGCAACACGTACAGAATCAGAGCAACTACAGGACAAGCTCAGACAACAAACTGCCCATGCAGTCGATATCTCTAGTCCTATCGAATCAGTCTCCTTTCATTCTTCTGTAAAGTCTCTTCAGTTAGACCCCCCTGCAGATCCACCGTCTGATCCTCGCCTTATCGAACCTCCCATCGATCACCAACTCTCCCTCGACTTTTTAACTCCCATGTATCCTCAACAGTTGTCTCCCCCGATGACGACCCCTGCTTCTCCTCAAGCGCAGTTGCCCGACTGCGTCGCAGCTCGCTCATTTGCTGCCGTATTGGCAACAGGTCAGCCAGATGACGACTCAGCTTTTCAAGCTACATCATCAGACGACGCCCCTCCCATTCTCAATTGGACAGTTGTAGCCTCACCCACTCATAAACCCACAAAGCCTGCCAAGAGCATCAAACAAGTCCAATCCCTCATCAAAGCCGCACACCAGCCCGGCAACTACAGTGCCCTTACAAAAGTTAAAGCCCTGTGCTCAGAAGCGCACAAAACACCCAGAGACCAAAAGACCGAAGTCCAACGCTACTTGTTATCCAACTGGCGGACTCCTGATTGGGAGCACCCCTCGTCACTCCCAAAGTTACCTGCCCCCTTAAACAACCCTCGTCTCGAGGACCCTGTCGAGTGTTGGGTATCATACTACACCGCCAACCCCAGTTCCTGCCCAAAGGGCATTCGCCGCGAACCGGACGGTCGTCCCGTCCTCTCCGACATGAAAGCCAGCCGAACCGTAGCTCGGCTCCGCCCCATAGTCAACCCGAGCGATCCCGAATCCCGCGAAGCCCGTCAAAAATACATGACAGTCGTCACAGAGCTCTTCTCCGAGCGTGGCGAATACTCCAGCATCCTGCGGAGAGCTGCATTCAGCGTCTCTCCCCACGTCTGCTATGCGCCGTTTGTGGGCGTGGCGGATGATATCGACAGATTGTCTGTTGCGCGTCATTTTGCGGCTTGTGGGGTGACTATTCCTATCGCTGAGGATGAGCTTGGACCGTGGGCGATAGAGTATATTCGTGAGTAGTGGGGAAGGGGATCACATCTGAGTTGTTCCGCATCGTTATGATCATACTTTACACGTACCAGACACCTGGTTAGGTTTCTGCATACATATATCCCATCCTCGAGGTCGTACGATTCACACTTAATTGCGGAGGCGTATAGTATGAAATTTCGAGGGTCTTCCGAGTCGTACATAGTGTATTTCCGCTTATTAGTCGCAACCCTTGTTGTGCACCTCTTGTAGAATTGTACAGTGCTTTATCTAATCAACGTGACTTGTTTTGCAATGTGTGAGTACTTGAGTACTAGTGATAAACATGGAATTCTGGTCCTCGGTTTTAGGAGACAGCAATTCCTGCGCCGAAGTTATTGCAACGTCAAATGCATGCAGCCTAAGCTATACCATTCCTCACAAAGGCTTCTGAAGGTCTGGTAGAGCCCATGTCGCTTGGCAGAACTTCCTAGTCCACGCATCGCGCTCAGCGCAAACAAAGCATCATGTTTGTCGTGCTCTACTGCTTGATTGAACTGGAAGGAGTAAGCAAAGCAATCGAATGGCGCCTGACAGACATCGAATAGGGTACAAACGTGATAGCTATCACTCCACTTTGAGATGTAATCAACATAGAGGAAAAGTTGAGAGGTACCATAAGAAAGGTATCCATCAAGAAGACGACCTCTTCTACACGATCTCCTCCAGCTTATACCTTCCAAAGGTAGCGTGGAATTTGAAATACCCATTGAAAAATGCGACATAGGCGTCGTATGCCTCAGGACGCGGTCTCAAGAATTCGAGGATACCGTGATGTAGTTGTACAGTTTTCTCGACGAGTTTCCGGAGAGCGTCTTGTTTGCTAAGACCACGAGAGGCTGCCATGAGCGACAAGTAGTTTGCGGTATCGCCTTGGATCTCCTCTTTGTAGTATGACAATATATCACTGAATGATGGCAGGTTAGAAAGGTTGACAGAAAATCATCGATGCAAGTAGTTACTTTGTGTAGTTTATCACCATGGCTACATCCATTATACATTGAACGTATTCCCGAGGCGGGAGTGTGGCAGGGAAAACGCAGTATGCGTACGCATAGTCCACGCCTGATAGCATCCTAGCATACTCAGGGTATGAGGGAGCCTGCGGCGAGATCTGTTCACACAAAGGGTTAAAGATTGAAACTCTTTATTAAAGAGATACCATACCGTCATATCTTTGGTTTAATTGTCAAGTAACATGGAAGACACGAAGTCGAGCGCGGACGTGACGATCAAATTCGACGCCGGTGCAGAATAGTGGCAAGCGACCTCCCGCAAGAGCCCGTCAAACGCATTCAAAACCGGATGCCCCTGCGGCTGGCAGTTCGCGAACAGCTCGTTGAAACGGTACAGGTGCACTAGATTTTCTCCGCTGATCATCATGTCGTCTATGCAGGCGCATATGATAGTGAAGAAGCACATCCACATCTTTGTTGCACGGTTCGGGAGATGGTCATAAGCGTTGGATACCATGGCCACGCCGACAGGCATGTATGGGAGGATGGCGTCCATCGGATAGCCTCGTTTGATGGCTTCCTGAGAGCATTCGGAGTACCACGCCTCGTCAAGCGGGACATTCTTATATTGCAACCCGCAACGCTGAAGAAATTCGGCGATGGACTGGCGGATGTTTGCTAAAACCTATATTTGACATCAACATCGGAACATGGAAGGTTATCAAAACACAAGCACGTACTTCGCCATCGAGGGTGGATGTGAACAAGTTGTTCATCGTCATTGTGAAAACGTGCAGAAAGATTGAAGCTTGGCGAGAGAATGGCTCCAATATTTGGGTTGCATGTACCCTGTACTTATACGTATGTCGGTTCATTGACGAACGAGAGTCTTGTATACTATACAGGGCCTGCACCCACATAGTAACATCCAATGATATGGTGCGATAATTATAACGCCGACCTTGTGAAAGTCACACTGCAATAATGACCGGAGACTTCGCGCCTGATGTAATATCTTCGGAGAGACTGACTGTATCAGATGTTATCAGATAGGCTGCCAATGAATCGAGCGGATGTGATCCTTTCGAAGCGGTAAAGTTGGAGACTTGAAACATGGGTGAGTATGCAAACAATTGTGTCTCTATCTCCGACGAGAGCGTAATCTTTTCAAGGACGGCTAGGCCGCAGTGCTATCAGAGATAATTAAACTGCCCGCTCCGAGTCAAGAGGGATGTGACTGCCGAAATAGGGGAAGTGAAATCAGTGGCAGGTGGCAGCTGCGATACCATCTGAAGCTTGATGGTCCCTGCTCTAGACACCAGGTCTACATGATGCATGCAGTATGTGGTAAAGATACTATAATTGCGGGTCCTTGGGACACGCAGGGGGAAAATTCAGCAGTCATGCGACTTTAACATAAACGTGCACATAAAAATACCATTTTTCATCCAATAATAAAACCCAACATTGATTCATGCACAGCTCTCCAAGGAGTAGCCGAATATAAAGTATATGATAGCTTTTGGGAGAACACTCGATAAAATTAAAGCGCTAGGAGCGGGATAAAGCTTTTTGAAGACTCACAAGAATACATTCAATGAAAATGTTCTCCGGTCATGGTGGAGCCTTTCGTGATAGAACTTCTTCAATTCTAAGCGCGGAGACTCACCTGATAACCGTGTCGTCCGGCGGGAACGGCGGACTGGTCGGGGTACGCCCTCATCATGGCATTCACGAATTCGGTACATAAGGACATCTGAGGTCAGTAGATTAGAAAGTATTGTCCTACATAGGGGTATCACCCTCAATGTTAAAATTTAAGCTGGAGTAGAAAAAACCATAGCACCTACCCTTGAAAAAGAAGGAGCGACTGCATTCTTTTATTTATATAAGGTTTGGCTACGAGAGACAATTAGTGAATTGCTCACAGGTGCTCACCCCGGGTGCCAGGGTGATATAATTCACGCTGGTTAATTTGACCTGGCGAATTCGAATGGACCTTGCAAATTAGCAGCGTTAATTTCGACCTGATAACGGTCCCGGCAAAGCCCGACTCACCAAATATTGACCAATAACCTGAGGGCTGTCTCCTGCTGAAGCCTATCACGCTATACAGTACTGCTACCGCCCCTCATGCCATTTGCCGCAGTGGGATCAAGCTTGCAGCTCACTGCAGATGAAACAAAAGCACTGAAGTCTCTGCCAGCGGCAACACAAGTTGGATATCTTATCATACAAAATTCATTTTATCACTAACATGCACTCAAGATCACTGCAAAAAAAGCTCTACAGGGATCTATCACAGATCTCGCAAGGCTGGTTGAATTTATGACTCTTTCGATCTCCAGATCTTCCCCTTCCCGTTTTTGTTGCCTGGTGCCCATCTTTCACGCGACGCTTAATTCAGTTCAAGTACCAAAATACATCAATCCCAAGACTATTCCTGCCATCATACGCGCGAAGTGGGCTCTCTTGGGATTGGTGACTATCAGCACGCTTGCCACCTCTTTACCTTCTTATGGCAGCGACGACGCCGTGACAAAGTATATTGTGAGGAGGTGGGACGAAACATACCCGTGGATGTGGTTCTTCGCTCAAAATTGCCTCCCTCCTCCTTATGATGTCTCGGTTACTCCTCCACGCCCCGATCTTTGCAGTGTGTCCGATGCTGTAAAATTGACCATCAGTCCGCTCTCATTGATCTGCACCAAATCGGAAGAAGGGCGTCACTTACTCCGTTCTTCCGTTTCTGTTCAGCAGTTCGCCGCGCGGTTGTGGATATTAGTAGGGAACCTTAAAGGAGAAGTACTCCAAGGCGACTCTGGAACTACCACAGATGGCCTCGTTTCTAAGCTCCGGGCGTCTTTTGCGCTAACAAACTATGTGTGCGTATCTGAATCTGAACATCCAGACAAAATCACCCTTCCTTTATCGAACTTCATACATGCTGCCGGAGGGGTGAAGCCCGTTGTCTTCACCCTTCTCAGATACATCCGTCGGATTACCAGAGATGTTGCTGCCGTAGAAGAACCTCGATCGTGGACGGTTTCCGATCCGAGCGTCAAGCAACTTCATCTCTACACTGTTGGTCTCAATTATTCATTCCAGTTTCTCCAGACTATCAGTAGCCAAGACCCTTCATGCCGCGAACAGCTTATCCGCCAAGGTTCAATTCGTACAGTGGTAGATGCGATCACTCAGATCTTGCCGAGGATCTTGGTGCAAGCAAATGAGGAATTGGATCTTCATCCACAGCTGGGACTCGCAGGTAGACAGAAAGTTCTGTGGTCGGGGTACTCGTACATCGCATCCGCTATTCGTGATGCAGATGACGGAGTAACATGTGTATGCCAGGCAATCGATGCTGGCCTTATCCAAACGTTGGAGAAGGGTGTTATTTGCCCGCCTCACGCCCACCGTCGTGATCGCCCCGTCCGTGGCCGCATGGGTGACATAGAGTTACTCTTCCTTCTCGCCACATTTTTTATATACCACAGGGTCGTTGCATCTATTTTTCGACACTGGTTTCGCATGCACAATGTTCCTACGGAAAAACGAGAGATACGCGACGAAGGGTTGGGGGCTGCTCTCGAAATCGTCCTGACATCTACTATCAATGCTATGGACTATCGCAGTGTAGAACCTATAAACTTCTTTGAATACAGGTGCAGCGGTCCAGGAGTACGCTAATCATCACTAGTTCCATCATGTGGATGCTGATATATGTGTCAGTGTCCGATGTGCACACCCAAGTTTGTCAGCAAAAAGCGTCGGTGCTCAGGCTGCTTGGTATCAATCTATTGCTCGGAGAAATGCCAAAGGACTGCTTGGCGCAATGGACACAGGAAGTGGTGTCAAGTTCTGAGGTGCACCGTTGGTGAGTCCCTTCAGTCCTTGTCTCATGCTTCTCAATCGAATCGCAGACAGGGCCGTGGGGCTCCCCCGACATCCGTAACAGTCTCCAAGTCATTGCAGGCTTCGAAACTACTCAGATCTCTGGAATGGCCAAAGACGTGGAAACGCGCGTTCGTGAAGCACAGCAGAAGTTCCCTGCATTCAGCGATAAACTCGTGCTCATGGTGGATCTGACTGTGTATTCGCCAGAGATGCGCGTGCTCCCTGTGCACATGCTTGAGCAGTTTCCTGGGAGGGATCCCATATGGCCAGAGATTGCTGACGAGATTCGCGCACGAAGCGACTCGCCACCGAAAGGATATATGTTTTCGGTGGTCAAGGTCCACCTGGGGAAATCGAAGTTTACGTTGTTCAGCCCGAGCACGGCGTTGCGTATGGCATTTGAAGGCCAGTATTTTTCGGATGATGAAGCGTATGATCCTGTAGATGAAGATGAAATTGATGATTCGAAATCGCTAGGCGACCAGGACTTGGATTGTGATTCAGACCCATTGGATAATAAGTGCTAGTACGATGTTTGACGGTCCTTGTGGTATATGTTGGTGGTCTTCGTTGACTATGCATACCCTTGCTTTACTCTGTACAGGATACATGTAATACCACTCTTGTGGTTTAATGGTGTAACCGATCGATCTGTGATTCACTTGATTCCAGGCATTGTGTCCAGTTAGACTGGTGATAGACGGACTGGTCATGAGTCTAGTGTCCAGTTGTAGCGGCTGTGAGCTCACCTAGCTCGTCCCCCGTCACATGACCACATGTGACGTACTATCAACTTTTCAGGGGTAGAGTCAACGCTCGGCGGCCGCAGCGAGCTCGAGTATTATAACATTTTTTGTAGTTGATTCACTTCATGAATGAACAGTGCATAAAATGAGATTGATTGTATTAATTTAATTGATGATAACGTGCATATATAGTTAACATCCTGAGAGCTAGTACTAGTAATAGGAAGAGTACTACATGGCTCTAAGCATAGGAGGGTAGCATAATTCTGTATGAACCATATGATGTTGGACGTTAGCGGGCAAGAAAATGATGAGCAGTAGCCTGAGAGACAAGCTTGTGGAAAGCATTAAAAATTAGGGAAAAACTTACTAGAGAAGACAACGCATGTGGGTTAAATAATGCAAAACATAGGTAACCATGAAAGGCAGGTGGAAGTGCGTGGATGAAGATGAAAAGCAGTAGTATGGCCCAGTTGTAACTTGTAAGAGGTTAGTGAAGTACAGCACGCTGCGAGTGTTCATTCAACGAAGTCACATGATGTCATGTCGGAGGGGGGTCGAGCTGGGAGAGCGAGTCGGGGATTTTGGTGATGACAGTGACTGCCATCATCTCCGGTGCATTGCAACAACTCTCCAAGCGTTTAGTAGACTCATGTGCGACTAGGAACAACCGTATCAACGGAATGCTGATAATCCAATCAATACAGAGTTTATATCACATCAACAAGTGTACTTACTGGTGCCGGAAGCACGCGGAGATCGGAAGTTCACGGTAGGGCTACCCACTACACTGCCAGGAGCGAAATACGTGACACGCTCACGCTTCCTGGAGGGAGTTATCTGGGAGGAATAGACCACTGGAGATGGTGGTTGCTGTGGCCAGGGCCTGTCCTCGGGAGTCTTGTATGCTAGAGGACTGATCAGCATACGACAGTAACGAGGCCAGAAATGTGTCACCCACTTGCTCCGGTTGCATTGTTTGAGTCGAAATTGATTGTAGGTGACCAAACACACGAATTGGAATCGAAATAAACGCATTCTTTGTCTTCGTCCAGTGGTTCATGCGGACTATCCTGAGCCGGGGGTCGTGCTGTGTCACGGTGGTGTCAGTGTTGAACTGGGGGTGAGAACGTCGTGTCCTCAATGACAGCGACGATGAATAGCATTTACCCGGAGCTTCTGGTGATACCGGGCTGCCCTGTTCTGAAGCTGGCGAAGTGACGGAAAAAAACATGAAGTAATTCCAGAAGAAAGACATGAAGCGACGGTATGAGGCTGGCGATCTGATGAGTTATTGAGAGTGTATTGATGGGGACTATCTATTTCTAGCCAGATACTTATACTTTTGCAAGACTGGAATTTAAAGAAAAGAAAAATCGCCACAACCGCGCCTGGACCAGCTCCGCGAATTAAATCTGCAACACCATCTGCGATGTATCTTCGGATTATTAATTCCCTTATTCTCTCAGATTGTGTACTGACAACGTTTTTGCAATTAATAGCTGTTCAGGGGAACATTGTGAGTCATATCACAGCTTATCACTCGCCAGCTCGGGCACAATTGTGTCCACCACGTCATGCTGTATCGCTGCACGTTGATCCTGTGTTTCCTATTTGCTCTTCTTTCATTCACTACTATGGCGACGTCCGCTTCATTTCATGGAGTTGTTGCAAAATGCAGGTCAGTATCAGATGACTTTTGCCGATACGACGGATTCATTGCTACTCCAGAACTTGGAGACATTCATGTCGATGTGTTCACATTACGACTGACGAGAATCCGCAGAGTCTTATTCTAGAAAGGACAGCTCAAAAGAAGCAGAGCAGAGAACACGCCTGATTATCTCGCGATGTTGACTCACCCTGGAGTACCTCCTCCGAATCGCCTAGATCTGAAACCAGATTGCATTTGCGCCGTTCAACAGATCATATCAGACTTCTTTATACACGCGACAGCCGCTACATCCCACGCATCAACTTTTCACACTGTTCTTTGTGGACAGTAAGCCGAAGGCAATTTCCGGTGCGTATGCAATCACATTCAATGGTTGCCAAGCTGGCGCGCACAGCACTTGACCTGCGGACCGATATGTTTGCTCACAGCCAATTATATATGGCGTTGTCCAGGGTGAGGACGCGAAGGGATACGCTGTGTTTGTTTGCAGAGACAAAAGAAGAGCAGGACTGCGCGAATATCGTGTTTCCTCACTTGCTACTGTAAATACAATTTGTCGTCGAAGAGAAGACCGAAGGCGTGTCCTTGTCTTCTGTTATAGTCCACTGCCCATGGAGGATGGATCCTCGTTCTCTGGGATGTATCCTACCATTTCCGGGATCACAAATCTTCGTGCTGAGGGGTTGACAAATGGACAATATCCGCCTCGTTTCCGGTGGGTCCTAGATCTGTGCTTCTTGCACAGCAAAAGATGGCTTCTTTTTGATGCTGCGGCAGATTATTCCACGGTCCAGTTCAGCAAATGTATGTTCAGCAAGAATCAAGAACCGAACTGGGTCTGGTTCTACCAAAGTCGACGAACCCTAGATATCTAGTGGTGAGTATCGAGATAAATCTTTGTGAACATATTGGTAGATACACACCAAATACACGTATAGCAACAGTTGGAAGACAACGTGAAGGTACAAGATAACGGGAGGGCACGAGGGTGCAGATGGCGGGAGGGTGCAGACAATGGAAGGGTGCGTGGGACTCCCAGCTCAAACATCTGCACGACCGATAAAATTTGAAGAGCACCTTCGAGTATTGAGGTTCAATAGAAGATGACTTCTATACAAATGATTAGCAGTGATTACACGCAGATGTTGGCGATAGGTCAGCGCACCGCGATTTCTGGAAAGGACAACCAGCTGGAGACAAGAGACACCAACAAAGCTAACACATGCGGAACTTGAGCAGAAAAATATAAGCGCGTTCATATTACAAGCTCACGTTGCAAAATAAAGAACGTGGGATTGTATAAGCACTCTGAAATAGTCCCCGATGGTCGATCCTGTCGATGGACCGAGTTTTCGCAGCTCACGGAAGTGTTTCACAGCAACCCAGACTGAAAGGCACAGTGCGAGGACCTCACAAACAGTGTTGAGGATCCAAACCCTGGAATTAAAAAGGTGCTCACCATATACATAATAGCACATATACGTGCCAGAGAGTATGAACTCCTCTGGTGTTTGTTCAATGAGCCGTTTTCTTCAAGTCGACAGCTAGTATCAAAGACGGTGATCAGCCGAGGACATCCAGGAAATGGCCAGTCTGGGGCCAAAGTCTGGTGATCAGGCATATAATTGTACGACGGCAGAGAAAGAGCTAGAGCTCGAGTGTATGGGAAGTCCGGCAGGCGATGACTGTCATACAGTGCAAGAGTCCACGCTCGCGCTGGACGAAAGGAGTTGCTCAACGCATAAGAATCTTCCAGTCTAGAAATGAGGAAAGAGGATAAGTAGTTTTCAACAAAACCATAACCGGATGCAAACATAGCGTAGTCATCCATTGAGAAAGTTGCCAGGGGCGCAGAGGGAATAATACCACGCCGTTCTTGCGCAAATGAGGCTATCCGATCAACATAATCGTTGGCGAGACATTCTGGCGTCAGGCAGTTAGTATGAGCAGCGGTTCAGACGAGTGAGGGCGCGGGTGTTGGAGAGTGTAGAATTGAAAACAACCAGCGGTACAAGGAACGCGTTAGCTGATTGTTCCAGACGTGGGGTAGAGCACCAGGAAGTACTTCTTGTATCATGTGGACTGCATTTTCGTGATCTGTCAAAACGGAGTAGGGTCCTTGCGGGTTAGCGTGAATAGACAGTAAAACAGCGGCTATGATGCCCAGTAGCTCGCCATGCAGGATCCCTGCTGATGTTCCATAGCTCGCCAGTGAGAATACCACCTGGCTATTAGGTGTCGCAGCTGCGGACGTAACTGAGCGAGTCTGGAAAAGTGATGTTGGTGATGGGAGCATTGATGCGTCCGAGGCAGCAAATTGACACCCTTGAAGCTTGAGCTCGCTAGCACGCACGTTGTAAGTACACACAGCACATGCTCCTCTACGCTGTAAATCCAGACTCATGTGATGTTGCCATTCCTTGATGATTTCTCGCTTCTCTTCAAACGTTCGAATGGTCGGAAGATCCGGATCTTGCGCGACAACAGCATCAGGAGAGCGCGACCGATAATTTACAAAATGACGTTGAGAATTGTGTGTCCGAGCCTGCAAACGAGTCTCGTCATCCAATTGAGACCGTGTGGACCGACCAGCAGCGGCACGCTGAGCATGATGATCAATGGCGAAAGGAACAGGTAAGATAAGTCGAGACACATCACGTCTAGGAATTCTCAAATGCCGAAAAACGATCGAATTAGGTGCACAGACATGAGTGCAAGTATGCACACGCAACAAATCCCGTACATAGTCTTTATGATCGACCGAAGCGGTTCGAACGGCATGCGCACGCACAATGTCAAGGTATTGTTCGTGAGTAAACATGGGGAAATGCTCAATGATGTGAGCAAGACTAGGAGCTATCACGGGCAAGAGACTGCCTGACGGAAAGTGGTCCACAAACTGCAAGCGCATCCCGAAATACTGAAGTAAAACACGGGCCGACACAACGGAGCTTCCATTGTCAGGCACCCACAGGATGAAAAAAAGGAACTTGCATAATGAAAGGTTTGGGATGATCGATCGATCAGTGTGACGCCATCCAGAAACCAGTCCCTATTCTAGGTCCTGGGGTAATGGAACCCATGTTCCAGGAACAACGAACCGTGAACGCCCGTAGTACATATAGAGGTCGAGCGCCAATTAGAAGCGGCCGTATTACAAACTTGTCGTGATCGTGTGGAAGCTGGACTCCTGTGCATTCCCAACCATCCAGCATGACAGGCCTAGGGTCTGAATCACCTGGAACCAGAGAAGAGAAGGGACTGCGGGAGTGCTGCGCTTCCATCCTCATCCAACGCTGTCCAGCATGTTTTGGGGGTGTCAGACTTGGACAAAGGCGTGTTGCTACTGACGGCGGGAACTTCCACCGCCGACACCGGCGTTCAACGTTCAGCTTCACCCCATTTTTGCGACCCTTTTTATTTCATTTCAAAGGTAGAGGTCGACGCTATTAGTCATCGGACCAGTCGAAACATACCTTTCCCTACGGAATGTTAGCATCAAGTGCATGAACCAGTATAAACGCTCACCATCCCCCATCTTCCATGTCTCCCATTTTCACACCTGCAACCTGCTGAGGGTTCCAGACAATAACGTCCTTTAGCTCCCGAACCGTAATCTCGCAAGTCCGCACCTAAGCTACACAAATGAGGCGGATCGATCGATCTGTGTGTGAGATAGACACAGGCAAGCCTATCTTCCCACCCCAAACCTTGTCAATGGGATCACCCGGTATCCCCGTAGAGCAACCGCAGAAAGAGGGTTGTATCAGATGAAAAAGTCCAGGCTAGACTCGTGACCAGTCTGACGTACGTCACTGCATGAGAGTGGGGAATTTTGAAGTAGTCAGACTGATTGATCTCGGAGAGATTTGACAGGCGAAGCACGGAGTTCGAATTTTAGCAGGTGCCGGTTGTGCCGGGTGTCGTCGTACATCTAGACATTGTACAGACACTATACATCTCTATGTTATGACCACGAGTTTCAACATTGGTTCTGTATTGCCTATGTCCATATCAGCTTTGAATGCTCTCGAAAACCTTCCAACGGACTTCACAAACACACATTCAACGATACAGATCCAGCAAGTACTCGAAGCTTTCGCGCACCTTGATTTTGTCTTGAAAGGCACCAAAATTCCGAACTCAAGGCTCTCGTATCTTTGCTTGCAGGAAGACATGTGGTTCTTAGATGTAGCACTTACTTCGACCGGCATCTGCTAAATTGAAACTGCGTGCTTCGCCTGCCAAATCTCTCCGAGATCGACCAACCTGGCTAGCGTCGCCACTCGACTCGTCCGTGGTTATATAAACCAGGCTGGTCTTGAGCCTACCCGTGTAGGGTTAGGACTTTGTGTAGCTCCTGTGCAGCACGTCGTGGCTTCTCTTCTCCGCCTACCAGGCTACACTCCAGCCAGCTCCAGCGCCGCTGTCTGCCGCAACCTGCCGCCTTTCAGATGTCTTTTTCTGCTACAGACTCCGGTGAGCTCTAGTGGCTTAGGTCCTTAGATGCATACGCCTGCAATGAAGACAAGTCCGGCGGGAAAGCCGGTCATGAGTAGAGGGGAATAAACATCACCCAGTCGTCATGACACCTTCTGCCAATGGCGAGCAAGAGTACCGCATCTCCAACACCTGCTGCCATGCACATATAGATTCCCGCACTTTCGTGGACGTGGATGCCCGCACTGACGCGGATGCCCGCAGCGACACAGATGCTTGCACTTATACTCACGCGAATGCCTTCTTACTACTTAGACAACTGCACAAGACCGCCCACAAAGTCAAGTACAAAGGCAACATTAACTATGACTGAATTCTAGCCCATTTTTCTACAAATTCCAGTATGTCTTCATCAGTTACTCCGCGCCTGACGAGAATGAGTACTTGAGTGACCTAGTTTGGTGACCTCGAAGCTCGCATTTTACTAACACATCGGGGTTGTCGATATTTATGAGACATATATCTACAATATACAAGTACGAAACGGTTGATCCCGCGGAAGCAATTCGTGTGACTCTCCTGTCTGTGCTCCTGTGCTCGTGCTGAGCTCCACCTGTCATCTAAATTGGTCTAGCGCCATGTGCGCTTGACGTCTATCGATCGTTGTCTTCAAAGCTCGCATTGTACTAACACATCGGAGTTATCGATATTTAGGGGACATATATATTGTACAAAATACAAAGAATTTAAACAGCTAGCTGAGCAAACAGGTAGAACCAGAAAAGTTGCATTCCATCGGCATTTCTCCAAAAAAAATTCAAAAACGAGTACAATCTCCCGAGTTCTGGTCGTCTATGTTGTCAGAGACAAGAGATAACTGCTGCTTAATCTTACTCATATGTTCATTCAAACATCCCCATTGCCATCCAATAATCCAACCACTGTGCCGCGTCTGCCGAAGACAGTGGCTTTAGTTCCTTCATCGTTGGACTGACGCGTTCGGCTACGGCGGTGGCGAATAAATTCAAGCCACCCGCTTCGGAGTCCATCTTTCCAGACGCCCTGATCGCGCTGTCTGAATGAGCCATGGCACGGAAGAAGCTGAGAAGCTTGATAGCAGGCTGTAATTGAAGACTAGATGAGAAACGTTCTGGCCAGCTATCGAGATACACGTACGATGCGTTTCATGGTCTCTTCGTTCAAGTCTTTGGCACTCGATTCAAGCCTTTCGAACCACTCTGAGAATGGCACAAGAGGTAGCGGGTGACTTGTTACTTTACGCTCAACCAGGGCGTCCGCAATGGGCTGTATCAACGCTTTCCATGCAGTAGGTTTCGGATGCACCAGATTCACCACGATGGAAGGTTCTTCTTCCGCGAAAGCTACATCAAGAATAGCATTTGATATGGCGTGAGGAGGGATCCAAGACACAAACTAAAACGCGCATGTCACGAATGGATACCCTCAATAGTAATGCACTTACTCCTTGAGCTTCCGGAAGTGCGCCTAGACTTATACTTGATTTGATGAAGATCGGTACCCAGTTTGTCGTGGACCAAGCTCCTCGCGGGGGTCCTCCTGATACTTGTCCAATTCTGAACGATGTTGCCGGTAGCTCGCTATTGACGAGAATCTTAATGGAGATGGTATTCATAGAATTCATGCCCCCGAAGTAGCCTGTGACTTACCCTTTCCGAAACGTATTTGCTCGCGCCATAGCCAAGGCCCACTGCGACCCCTGCGTCGTATTCCACCTCTTCGGGGAATGGTCCTTTTGCTTGATCCCAACTTTGAGCAGATGAGATGGAGGATGCGAACAGGAGGCGTGGCTTTGGATGATGGGGAGAAGATAGTGCCAAGTCTATAAGATTCCTCATTCCCCGCACATAAGAGTCGAATGAAGAGAGCGCCAGATTGAAGTCAAGTCGCCAAGCGTTGTGAATGATGACAGTAACAGACGTGCGGATCTATGCTATCTTTAGTTAATTCGATGACACTGGAAATGATGCTAACCTTCTCATATAACTCTTTATCCAGACCTAGGTTATCGTGGGATGTATCAGTTTCCACATACACTAGTTTGTCTGACTGAAGCACGGAAATATCTAAACCGCGATCTTCGAACGCATCTTTCTGTCGCTTTTGTATGGATGTCCCCTTCGACGGGCGATTGAAGGCATATACCACAGACACGTTCTCGCGCTGGAGTAGATCTCCAAGCAGGTATGAGCCAAGACCACCCGTAGACCCGGTCAGGACAATCCCATGATTGCTTTGGCTACGCCCATTGACTAGAGTCTCTGTGACAGAGTTCCCTAACCCGACTGAATACTTCGCGATCATGTTCTCGATATCAGTCTTGGCGTCGACGGTAGTTGCACCACCCTGCTGCAATACTGCATTAATGACGCTTCTCGCGAGCTGGCGAATCGAAGGACTTGAAAATATGATGTTCTGGTCAATCCGCGATGCTGATGCCTGAAGGTCGCGATCTGAAGACGAACTGAGAGAGCCGATAATGCGGTTTTTGAGAAATGTCGCAGATAGACTAAATATACAAAGTAAGCAGAGCACTAGCCTTTGTTAGTTTCGACTCACCTGTCAAAGCCCTGAGTGAAAAGATCCGCATCAGGATCAACTTCCTTGTCGGCGTTCACAGCAGCAGCGTGGACCTTGAGCCATCCCTCGACGTCTTCCGCAGTCCAGCTTGTAGGTAGAGGTACATCAATACCTGCTCTAGCGCTGCCCTCTACCTTTTCATATCTGTCACCCATGAAGTCTAGTTGACAAAGTGACGGATAGATACTATGCTCACAGGGCATTAATCTCCTCCTCATACAACTTGACGCTTAGTTTCTTGTTGACGGTCCCTTTTGCAGCTCGAGGCATGGGCTTCTTACTGTGTGTCACAAGAATCATTTCTTTGAAGATCCTGCTGAAGGCAGGAGCCTCTTTATTCGCTTCCTCTATGTCCGGCCTTCAATAACATCTTTAGACTCAACAGTAGCTTGCGATCTTTTGGGGGGCTTACCACACTCGGTTCCTAAACTCAGCAAGTTGATTTTCGTCATCAACATCAATTTCAGACCCTGCTCGTGGCTCTACGAGGATCCCAACTTGATTGCGTCCACGGCCAAAGATGACGGCGCCGGCTACGTAGGGGTTAGCAGAGACAATGCTTTCCATGGGACCCGGTACTGTCTTCTCCCCGGACGAGAGTACCAAAACGTCGTCGATCCTTCCTACACTGTAAGGAAGATGTCAGAGAACATAAATAACGCAAATTTCAGTCGTACATCTTCCACAAACCCTCTATGGTCGGGTGCTTGATGAATAGATCTGAAGTAGCATAACCCTTGACGTCCGGAAGATTCTCTACTGATACTTGATGCGTCGGGGTTGTCTGCGAAAAAGCATTCAACGCGCGTTCAAAGATCAACTCGGAGACGCACCAAGATTTGACATTCATATGTGCCATCGTCCTGTGGAGCCCATCTGATCTTGGAATTTGGTCCAAATCGTAGCCAGTCCCAAAGCTTTTGATCGACCGAATGTCGGATGGAATAAGTGATGACACCAAATTCTGTAGCGCCGTAGCCAGAAGAAAGCTTGACCCCTGCATCCGCCAGACCATTTCCCGTCTTAGGCGCGAGAGGACCGCCACCATAGGCCTGCATTTTGTATCAGCACGAGTCATTCCTTGTTACAGCCTCAAAAACAAACTTACAACATATTCGAGGTTCTTCAGAACATCGACAGCACTCGGCGAAGACGCCCATTGTTCTAGAAAGGCAGGCACGACTATCAAAGCATTTGATTTCGTCTCGACTATAGTGTCCAGGATATTTTGCGAGTTGGGTAGTACAGGTGCCGCCAATGGATCGAGGAATGATGTAGGCGGGTAAATAGACACACTGCTCAGGGAGGCGATAGGGGTGACCAGCTGAAAATATACACCAAGGGTATGGAATGATGGTAAGGACGCAGCACAGATGCGAATAGGAGTGGGAAAGTTGATGAGGTCGAAAATAGATGCTAACGGCACTCTATCTTAGCGTTGTTCGCTATGCAGACTATTTTGCTGACTCACGCGTTATGCACCAGTGGGTGGCAGTCAAGTTAGTCACTGGAATGGGTTTTGGGAAGCCAGTGCTGCCAGAGGAGTGCAGAAAGAATAATACATCGTTCCAAGACGACGGCGAAGCTAGGGGAGAGTACGGGACAATAGCCTCGTTGGGAGTACCACTAACGAATGAGGGGTACAGGTGTTCCAGCGTCGGAATCTCGTCAATCTGTAGCGGACTCGTTTGAGTGGCAGACACAAGATCCGCTTCGACCCCGTCGATAAGGGAAGCGAGAGAGTGCCGCGTCGTGATTAAGCGACGGCACCTTGTCTTCTGCATCATACTCGTGACTGCTGGCACCGAATTCCGAGGGGACATGGGGAATGGCTTGAAATAACAGTAATCAGAAAGCGATTATTCAGAAAAACTATGTACACACAACTAGCCCAGCGAAGATGATACCCATGAACACTGTCTGGTAAAGAAGGGTGTCGGAGTTCGCGATGAGGGCGACGACTTGTTGATGTGCGCCTGCGGAGGCTGTCCTAATTGCCTGGGCAGCCCGATGACAAGCTCGATAGAAGTCTGAGTGAGAGATAGAGACCAGGTCATTGCTGTCAGGTTTGTGGTAGACAAAGAAAGGGACGTCCGGGTTATGTTGCGCATTGAACTCAAGCAATTGAGAGAAGGACAAAGATCTATCGAGGGGAGGGTGTTTGAGAGCGACCATGATTTGTATGATTGTAGATGATACGAGATATCGCGCACGAATAAGTAGTCATTTTCAAGCGGCATCTCGATCGAAGAAAGTTCCGCGAAATCGGATTTATTTGAACTTACTGGGAAAGCAAACGTGCCGCCTATTTCTAATATCTGGATCTACAGACGCGGGACCGCATCTAAATGCGGCAGCGTAGTTGATGTCGGAGAGGGCTTTCCTAATTGGTGTCTATGACTAAGACGTTAGGACCTTCAGGATGCGGGGCAGTGAGAAATTGTGCCATAATGGCCCATCACATGAGATGACGGTCTTGTTGGATTAGAGAGCACCGGCAACTCGGAGCTCGAGACTGACAAAGCGCGCTGCACGCTTTGTAATATTTCGGCTATGTAGAAACCCGACCTAACCGTGATAATAAACTGGATTACAGGTTTAATAGACAAAAAGTGAGGCTGACCGTCGATATTCAAGTTCTCGTCTAACGAGCATGATAGGCTGCAATGCTTACTAAGATTCACTTGGCTTTGGAATGAGCGTTGTTTTTGGAACTCCGCTCACGCAAATGAATTTGATTTCGTACTTGTTTAGATCAGGCCCATAAGGAGGGTGTAAACACGCAAGCGTCTTACCGCAATCCAGACTGCGAGACACAGTGCAGAGTATTCACGTAGCAGTGTATTTTGCGCATGCAGTGACAAGTGTCGGAAAGAATGAGTTCCTTTGAGCCCCGTTTTCATCCACCCCCCTAAAGCATTTCACGGTATCATGGTCCACTCCGTCGATAGCCAGGAATAAAACATCAGGATCTTTCCGGTTTGTTGACAGATGGCATGTGTACATCATCGCTTCACCCGAATAAAGACGGAGTTTGGAAGAGATTGGGTTGACCTTTTACGCAGTAGACGCTACACTACCGAGTCATCTCCGCGCAGAAGCTCAGAAGCTGCACGTACGTACGAGCGCGTTTATCAACCTTATAGTGCCTTTTACGATCTTCCCCATCCTGGCCCGCACTTATAGTTCTTGTTGGCGACAAGAATATTTACATGGTACGAGTCCCGGAGGATTAACCCCGGGACACTTTACGAGTCCCTTTTTCCTTTCTTGATCCTTATCGACTCCGACATCTTATATCATCGCGTGTACCAAGTCGCTTCTCGACCTTTTGTACTCAATCTCTTCCTCGTACGCAGTCTAGCTCCCTATATAGTCCTCAGAGCCTCAAGCTTTACGTACACTGAAAAGTTAATCTAAAAGTAAGTACAAAATCTCATAAAACTGCTCGATTGAATTGGAAGGAGTAAGAAAAGTCGGGTCAGACAGGCAACCTAATGGCGCCTGGTAGACATAGAAACAAGGTACAAACGTGATAGCTAGTACTCCACTTCAAGATGTAATCAACAGAGGAAAAGTTGAGAAATACCATAAGAAAGGTATCCATCAAGAAGACAACCTCTTCTACATGATCTCCTCCAGCTTATACCTTCCAAAGGTAGCGTGGAATTTGAAATACCCATTGAAAAATCCGACATAGGCGTCGTATGCCTCAGGATGCGGTCTCAAGAATTCGAGAATGCCGTGATGTAGTTGTACAGTTTTCTCGATGAGTTTCTGGAGAGCGTCCTGTTTGCTAAGACCACGAGAGGCTGCCATGAGCGACAAGTAGTTTGCGGTATCGCCTTGGATCTCCTCTTTGTAGTATGACAATATATCACTGAATCATGGCAGGTTAGAAAGGTTGACAGAAAATCATCGATGCAAGTAGTTACTTTGCGTAGTTTACTATCATGGCTACATCCATTATACATTGAACGTATTCCCGAGGCGGGAGTGTGGAAGGGAAAACGAAGTATGCGTACGCATAGTCCACGCCTGATAGCATCCTAGCATACTCAGGGTATGAGGGAGCCTGCGACGAGATCTGTTCACACAAAGGGTTAAAGATTGAAGCTCTTTATTAAAGAAATACCATACCGGCATATCTTTGGTTTAATTGTCAAGTAACATGGAAGACACGAAGTCGAGCGCGGACGTGACGATCAAATTTGACGCCGGTGCAGAATAGTGGCAAGCGACCTCCCGCAAGAGCTCGTCAAGCGCATTCAAAACCGGATGCCCCTGCGGCTGGCAGTTCGCGAACAGCTCGTTGAAACGGTACAGGTGCACTAGATTTTCTCCGCTGATCATTATGTCGTCCATACAGGTGCATACGGCGGTGAAGAGGCAGATCCACATCTTGGTTGGACGGTCCGGGAGGTGGCCGTAAGCGTTAGACGTTATAGCCACGCCAACAGACATGTATGGGAGGATGGTGTCCATCGGATAGCCTCGTTTGGTGGCCTCCTGGCAGCATTCGGAGTACCACGTCTCGTCAAGCGGGACATTCTTATATTGCAACCCGCAACGCTGAAGAAATTCAGCGATGGACTGGCGGATGTTTGCTAGAACCTATATTCGACATCAACATCGGAACATGGAAGGTTATCAAAACACAAGCACGTACTTCGCCATCGAGGGTGGATGTGGACAGGCTGTTCATCGTGATTGTGAAAACTTGTAGAGAGATTGAATATTGGAGAGAGAATGGGTTGCATGTACCCTGTACTTATACTAGTAGTCTATGGTCCATGACGTATGTCGATTCATCAACGAAGGAGAGTCTTGTATGCTATACAGGACCATCCCCGAGCTGGCACCCACATGACTGTAGAGCAATCGCCACACAACGTTGATCTTGTGCAGATCACGTTGCAACTACATGACCAGAGACTTCGCGCTCGATATAATCCCTTCGGAGGCAATATCATATAACCAGATCAGATGCCATCAGATAGGCTGCTAATGAAGCGGCAAATGTGGTCCTCTCGAAGCGGCAACGCAATGGGTCTGAGTCTCTGAGAGGCTAGAGTGTGTCCGGGTACCAGAGCACCTCTTCCCTGGTATGTAGCAGTGTACGATCTTCACATCATGATGAACGTCGCGGAATGTTTGTGGTCTTGTCGGGGGTTCCGGTTATTCCTGATTCGTTTACGTTCAACCACAGCGATCTCAACTAAAACTCCGACACTTGAGCTTGATCACTGTAAGGTAATCATTGCAACCGAAAAAGCCCTTGGCAAACCGAGATTGTGTCCGACCTACCTCCACTAACGTTGGGATCGCAATTGCCATGAAATGAGCCATCTCTACAAGCACCTTCGAATCCACCAAGTATTCGGAGCAAACACAGACGTTGGAAAGACTATCATCACTACTGCTCTTATTCGGGCTTCGGCGCTCAACAGCAACCGCGTTTTTTATCTTAAGCCGGTGAGTACTGGTGCACCGCAAGATGCGGATGATGAGTGCGTGTTTTTCATCGCGTAGAACGCGTCGCTGAATATTGTTCTTTATATGCTAGACATATAAAACGCCATGCGGGGCCCCAAAAGCATCTAGTGGACGCTCATTGCTTGTTCCGCTATGGAGACCCCGTTAGTCCGCATCTTGCTGTTAAGATGGCTTCTGAGACTCAAGGTGGACTCAAAGTGCGTGGTTGTTGATGTGTCTTGTGATGAGCTGATGTTGGAGCTTGGGACAACTTGAAGGTTTCTGTACCCTCGGATGAAACGTTTGTTGGGTCTGTTGCGGAGCATATCAGAAAGCGGGCTAGGGTTGCGAGTGGGCCGGGTCATATGTATGTAGAGACTGCTGGCGGTGAGCACTACTTCAATACATTTTGATACTTCCTGCTAACTGATTTGCTCAGGCGTCCACAGCCCAACGCTCTCCGGAACAACCCAACTAGACACCTACCGCCCCCTTTTCCTCCCCACCATACTAATCGGAGACTCCAGACTCGGCGGCATATCATCAACTATCTCATCATTCGAGTCCCTCCTCCTCCGTGGATACATCATAGATGCGATCCTCTTATTCCGGGACGAATACTACAGGAATTATGAATACCTAACGCAGTATTTTGCAGAACGAGGGACGCATGTCACTGCTCTTGACCCTCCTCCCCCACGTCTCGACTATATAGAGAATGTTGCGAATACAGAGAAATACTACTCGGATCTTGTCCCAGACACCCTTAAAGGCGATATTTTCACTGCACTGGAACATCTAGACCAGTGTCACGCCAGACGCATCGAAGAACTAGACTCAATGCCCCGTCGTACGCTCGACGCGATCTGGTGGCCATTCGTACAGCACGGGTTGGTCAAGACCGAGAAGGACGTTTCGGTCATCGACAGCGCGTGGTCAGATTTCTTTAGCATTTATGATGCTTCTTCCGGGAAAACTTCACCTTCGCAACCAAAATCGCTATTGCAACCTCAACTGGACGGGTCCGCTTCATGGTGGACGCAAGCTGTCGGACATGCTCATCCGACGCTGGCACTTGCTGCTGCAAACGCGGCAGGACGTTATGGCCATATCATGTTCCCGCAGGCGACTCATACTCCTGCTCTAAAGCTTGCTGAACGCCTCCTTCAAGGACCAGGCAAAGGCTGGGCTTCTCGTGTATTTTTCTCAGATAACGGATCTACCGGGATGGAGGTTGCGCTTAAAATGGCTTTACGATCGTTCATCGTCAGCTCTGGACTCGAGTTGAGTTCACCGGAGAAGAAGAATTTGAGGGTTGTTGGACTAAAGGGGAGTTATCATGGAGATACGATCGGGGCTATGGATGCTTGCGAGGAGGGGGTCTATACTTGTGAATGGCATGAAGCGAAGGGTTATTGGTTTGAGCCACCGACTGTGTCCATTCGGCAAGGCCGAGTCACTATTTCCCTTCCACCTGCTCTGTCGTCTCTCACCAGTGATCAGCGGACAATCGAAAGATTTGAAACACTCTCTCATGTTTATGACGTCGAGCAACGTCTCGAATCTCCGCTAGCAAAACACTACAGGCAATACCTAAATAAACGCATGCGTAACCTCCAGGCAGACGACACCCGAAAACTCGCAGCTCTAATCATCGAACCCATCGTGATGGGCGCAGGAGGGATGATATTCGTGGATCCATTGTTCCAACGAATCATGGTCGACGTCGTCCGCGACCCCGCCATATTTCCTACACTTCTCCCAGTCATATTCGACGAAGTCTTTATGGGGCTATACCGCCTAGGATTCGAAAGCGCAGGGCCTCTACTCGGTGTCAACCCTGACATCTCAGTAAATGCCAAGATTCTCACCGGCGGTGTGTTGCCTTTGGCAGTGACGCTCGCGTCCGACCGTATCTTTTCGGCGTTCAAGAGTGAGAGCAAAGTGGACGCGTTGCTGCATGGACATAGTTATACGGCACATGCTGTTGGATGTCAGGTTGCGAATGCCACACTTGATTTGGTTGGTAGGTTGGTGGAGAGTGATCTGTGGGTGGGGGCAATCAGCAAATGGACGCCTGAAGGAGCGTTGGCGACAAAAGTGTGGAGTTTCTGGGATCCGGAGTTCATCACCTCGATATCTTGTCTGGATATTGTTGATGAAGCAATGGCATTGGGAACCGTGCTTGCTATCAAGTTCAAGGATGATGATGCAGGTAATGTCGATCCTATTACATTTTATTGTTTAGATTGCTTATGTGACTTGGTGGCGCAGGTTATGCATCGCATTCCGCTCAGACTCTCCTACAGAGCTTGCGATTGCCATTGGATGATGGATCTACGTCCGCAGCTCCTGGGGGTGCGCCTTTTGGGGTGCATTATAGGACGCTGGGTAACGTGGCGTATTTCATGAGTAGTTTGAATACTCCACGTGCGACTATCGAGGCATTGGAGGATCGGTTGTGGAGGCTTGTGTCCAGTGTGCAGCGTTCGTAGCTTCAAGTTGATACATACTCTCCCTATATAGCTAGCCAGATCTACCGTATAGTCTTGATTATGGTGATGTATATGTGGCATTCCACAATAGTGAATTATGTACAGGCTTGAAGCAGTTATGATGGCCCATACTTACGATACACCGTACACGACTGGCAGCGTGTACGTGATAGCTGGCTGATATGACTCGGTAAGTTCTTAGAACTATAAATTTTGATCATAAAAAGTTATTGTACCTTTCCATCTTCTCTCCAATCAAAATGGCCTCCATCGCATCTCGTTCAGCCTCAGCCCTCCGTGCTGCTGCTCGCCGTGCACCTCGTGCCGGCACAAAAAATGCAGCGAAGCCTGCACAGACTGCGTCCTACTCGTTGCTTGCTCACCAGGGCTTGACAAGCAGCTCGCGCAGACCCACTCCGCAGGTGAATTTTTATTCACATTATGACTGAATAAGCTCTGACACCCAAGTATTGTAGGCTGCTCGAGGCGTGAAGACGCTCAACTTTGCTGGTACCGAGGAGGTTGTGTACGAGCGGGGTGACTGGCCTCTGGCGAAGCTCCAGGACTACTTCAAGAATGATACCCTCGCTCTTATCGGCTATGGTTCTCAAGGTCATGGTCAAGGCTTGAACGCTCGCGACAACGGCCTCAATGTTATCGTTGGTGTCCGTAAAGACGGCGAAAGCTGGCGGCAGGCTATAGAGGATGGCTGGGTATGTTCATGTCGACGTGTCAGGCCTGCAGGCATCTCATAACACATCGATGTATCATTAGGTTCCCGGAGAAACGCTTTTCCCCATCGAGGAAGCTATCAACCAGGGCACGATTATCATGAACCTTCTCTCTGATGCTGCACAATCACAGACGTGGCCTACCATTGCACCTCTGATCACCAAGGGCAAGACCCTCTACTTCTCGCACGGTTTCTCTATCGTATACAAGGAAGACACAAAGGTTATACCCCCTAAGGATGTTGATGTTATATTAGTCGCACCCAAAGGATCTGGCCGTACCGTACGCACCCTCTTCAAAGAGGGTCGTGGAATCAACTCTAGTGTGGCCGTCTTCCAGGACGTCACTGGTAAGGCCATGGAGAAGGCCGTTGCCATTGGTGTCGCTGTCGGGTCAGGGTACATGTACGAAACCTCCTTCGAGAAGGAGGTTTACTCCGATCTCTATGGTGAACGTGGTGTGCTCATGGGTGCTATCCGTAAGTGTTCACACATTACAAATTATTATCAGCTGATCATCTATCAGAGGGTCTGTTCTGCGCGCAGTACAAGGTGCTCCGTGCCAATGGCCACTCCCCTTCGGAAGCCTTCAATGAGACCGTCGAGGAGGCCACTCAATCCCTGTACCCTCTGATTGGACAGAAGGGGTAAGCGTATGTTTTGTCGTCGCGTGTCGTTTCCCTCATGGTTTGTAGCATGGACTACATGTACAACGCCTGCTCCACAACCGCTCGTCGCGGTGCGCTCGATTGGGCGCCCATCTTTGAGAAGACCAACACGCCTATCTTTGAGCAGTTGTACGAGAGCGTGCGGAACGGCACAGAGACCCGCAAGTCTCTCGAATTTAACGGCCGCTCGACCTACCGCCAAGATCTTGCCAAAGAGCTGAAGGAGATCGACGACCAGGAGATTTGGCGTGCAGGCAAGGTTGTGCGGTCACTGCGTCCCGATTACAAGCCTGAATAGATGAGCTTATGATTGGATCGGAGGTGCTTTGACTCGACTTGCTTGTCTATTTTGTTACCAAAAGCGCCAAAGCGGTGCACACCATGTAGGATAGCACAATGTACGGCAATGTACGGACATAACTCTTGAACAAATGTTATGACCGACCCTCGAGATATTTCAGGCTTCGTGCGGCGTTAAGTATATCGATTTTCGCGCTCCTGAATATGATATATCGTAGACACATTCTGTCAAAGAGTCGTGCTATTCTGGTTCGGGGGGCGACAAGTCACGACAGTCGGTGGGTGTCTATTCCGTTCGGCTGCTAATACTTACCACCGATATCGTTATCCAGAAATTGGTGGGTCTCTGAAAGGTGGACGCAAGTGAAGGTTAAATCGCGAGAGTACCTGGCGTAAATAACTACCCAGCGAGGAATCCAAGAGATGATGGTGTATCGTGTATTCCGGAGAGTAACGTCGGATGGAGAGGACGAGACAACGGTGGACATACAACTCATTCCTCACGTGATAGACCTTTGAACAACCAGCAAGTCTAAAAGAATTGTTCAGTCGAGAATAGTGATTCTCGATTGAAGTGTTCAGAGATTGAAATAGATTGAAGAAGGGTACACGTCGAATGCACGGATTGTCGTAGGACTCATAACGAGTAGTCACATTGTCGGTGGCATAAAGGGAAAAAGCATTGCATAATCATTGGTCTGCATTCTATAGGAAATTAGCTTAGCGGTAAAAGTAACAGGCATGTATAATCACAAGAGTAGAACTGTAGAAGTGGCCCGTGTTTTGGTATATAAATATGTAACAGCCCACATGGAAGACATACTACGCCATTTATTACAACGAGAGAGCTGAGTGAAAAAAAGGTTGAGCACTGTAGCATGGGTAGCATCATTGAAAAGACTCACTCAAGGCCCAAGAACGTAAATGGGTCTTCGTAATATCAGCACTCGCGTCCATCGCGAAACGGTACGATTCGAAAGCTTCTCCAAGCCTGCCAGCCCCAAGGAGCGCACGTATCAGTCTCTCGTTGGAAGTTGGCCACAACGCCGCGATGTCCCATCCAAAGAGCTGCAAAAACGCGCAGTTGAGGATCGGTGAGTTTTCGGTGACGTCATATTCAACGTACCACAGTGAAGGCCTCCAAGGCAGTAGGAACGAGAGATTTAGCCAAGACAGCGCTAGCGTCCACAGCGGCACTGAAGTGCTCAACCGCCTCATTATGACGCGCGCCATGGAAGGCAATAATTCCTAGTTGGAGTCGCAGACTCGCCTGATGCACGAAGCGCAGACCCACCAGTCAGCGGACGAGCACAAGCGTGATTGCGAACAGGAGACTCACCACTACTATACCACAAGCGATGGGATCGGCAGAAGGATCAGCAGCCAGCTGGTTCACACGCAGCATTGCCTCTTCGTGTCTATTAGCATTGAAGAGCGCAATAGCCTGAAACACGGTGAGGCGCGGAGTATGCAAGATAAACAAATCAACGTGCCTTGATCAAGTAAAGGAAAATAGTGATATCTGTATTTCCCTGTGTAAACGTGAATGCCAAGTCAAAGGCTGTCCTCGCGTCATCGAGGCGCTGCTTTCCGCAGAGAGCGATACCCTTGGCGATATAGCCAGCGATCGATGCCCTTATGACAAGGGACTACAAGAACATCGAAGTCAGCAGGTTTTGAGTTAGGGCATGATGGGTCGTTGTTACCTTGGTCGCATCATGAAGCGCATTGTCCCAGTCGAGTTTGCGTGCCAGAATGAAAGAGCGATTGGCATAGGAGGCGAAGTTCTTGGCGTCGGTGGCAATCTCTAGAGTAAGAATCCTTTCAGCGGTAGACAAATCCCCTCTGATTGATGCAGAACGGGTGGTGTTGGTGATAGCAAGGAGCTCAGCCATGGCGATCCCTAGTGTCTGCCGCGTAAAAAAGTTTGAGTGACGCCGTACAAGTAAAAAATGAAATCATACCTTTGAAACAACCCGCTTGACCTTTGACTGAGACTTGTTAGCATATTGTTCTGCCTCGGACAGGTATTGCTCAGCCTTGAAGGCAGGCTGCTCGAACTTGGTGATAGGTTGCTCGGCCTCCAGAACAGACTGCGAGTGGACAGTCGTCAAAGACGATTGCTGAGACCTGGAATCCAAGCTTGCGGTCGTCGAAACCGACTGCTGAATCCTGGAATCGGAGCTTCCAGCCGTCAAAACAGGCTGCAGAGACTTGGAATAGAGACTTCCGGTGACCGGATTAGATACTACGAGCGTCTGCGTGAAAAAGCTTTGAATAGCGCCATACAAGTAAAGGACGGAATCATACCTGCCCGGCATTTAAAACAGATTGATCAAACTTTGTAACAGATGTTGCTGCCCCGGACAGAGATTGCTGGGAGTTGAAAAGAGACTGTTCGGCATGGGAAATTTGAGATTGTTCGGTGCAGACAGATTCAGATGACCGCTCATTCGCAACAGACTGTTGGACCTTGGTAATCGTAGGCTGTTCTGCCTTCAAAACAGACTGCGAGTGGACAGTGGTCAAAGACGATTGCTGAGAATTGGAATTGGAGCTTTGAGAAATTTGAGATTGTTCGGTGTGGACAGATTCAGATGACCGCCCATTCGCAACAGACTGTTGAACCTTGGTAATCGTAGGCTGTTCTGCCTTCAAAACAGACTGCGAGTGGTCAGTGGTCAAAGACGATTGCTGAGAATTGGAATTGGAGCTTTGAGAAATTTGAGATTGTTCGGTGTGGACAGATTCAGATGACCGCCCATTCGCAACAGACTGTTGAACCTTGGTAATCGTAGGCTGTCCTGCCTTCAAAACAGACTGCGAGTGGTCAGTGGTCAAAGACGATTGCTGGGGATTGAAATTGGAGCTTGCGTTCGTCGAACCCGACTGCTGAAACTTGGAATCGGAGTTTCCAACTGTAACGGTCAAAACAGGCTGCAGAGACTTGGAATCGGAACTTGCGGTGGTCAAAACTGACCGCTGAAGCTTGGAATCGGAGCTTCCAGATGTCAAAACTGACTGCAGAGACTTAGAATCGGCGCTTGAGGTCCTCAAAACTGACTGCTGTAACTTGGAATCGGAGCTTGTAGCCGTCAAAACAGGCTGCAGAGTGGAATGGGGACTTGTAGTCACTGACTCGGTGACTACGAGTGTCTGCGTGAAAAAAGATTTGAATGACGCCATACAAGTAAAGGATGAAATCGTACCTGCCCGGCATTTAAAACAGACTGATCCGACTTGGTGACAGATGCTGCTGCCCTGGACAGAGACTGTTCGGCATGGGAAATCTGAGATTGTTCAGTGCGGACGGATGTTGCTGCCCTGGACAGAGATTGCTGGGAGTTGAAAAGAGACTGCTCAGCATGGGAAATTTGAGATTGTTCGGTGTGGACAGATTTAGATGACCGTCCATTCGCAACAGACTGTTGAACCTTGGTAATCGTCTGCTCGACTGTGGTGATAGGCTGTGCAGCATTCGAAACTGACTGCAGCTGGACAGTCGTCAAAGACGATTGCTGCAGGTGAGAGTTGGAAACGGGGGTTCCTACAGTAATAGTAGACTCTTGAACCTTGTATTCAGTGGCTGGAACCTTTTTGATCAAAAGACGCGAATTAGATGGCGAATGTTCACTAATGAGCAAGAAATTACCGTTGTCACGACTTCCTTCAAGTAAAAGTCGGGAGTGTCTAGTACTGGCAAAGTGCCCGCGGGTGCCGTCCATACCGAGACTTTCTTATCATAACCTCCACTAAGGATGTGTGCGCCATACGCGGAGAAGGCTGCGCAAATGACAGAAGAACTGTGCTGGAAAATGGCAATGGTTTGTTTATCGGAGAGCTGCCAGAGACGAACAGAGTTGTCGCTAGAGGCGGAAACTGCGTGCGTGCCAGCAGAATGAACGGCGATGGAATTGATTTTGTACGTATGGCCCGTCCATGGTTCACCAACCTGCGTCCAGCTCGATGTCTCCCACTCCCTAATGCTGGGATCATGATCATCTCCTCCTGAAAGAAGGCGCTTGGCATCAGGAGACCAGGCGAGTGACAAAGTACCGCGACTGTGACCCTTCAACGTTGTTTGGAGTTTGCCGTCGGCGTAAATTTGGATGTCTTGATCTGTTGCCACTGCAAGTGCATGTACGCCGGACCGCGCATACCTAACACAACGGACAGTATCACCGCATGCATAATATCCAGCTTGCTCCCAAGTTTTGGTGTTCCAAAACTTGATCGTTTGATCGTTGCGTGCCGCCGACGCGGTAACGACGAATGCATTGTCGGGCGAAAAGTCCAAGGAGCGGACTCCACCGCCGTGGGCCTTGGAAACTCTGGTGAGAGACTCCCCGGTTTTTGCCTGCCAGGCGATGAGCTCGCCGTTCTCGTCACCAGTCGCTATCAATTTCCCGTCTCTCGATACCGCCAATCCCATCACATCACCGGTGTGCCCCCCCAACCGCTTCAACACTTTACCTGTCTTCAAGTCCCAGAGACGGACCATCCTGTCCTCGGAGGAGGTTACCATCAGTTCGCTATTGGGAATATCTGCGGCTGCATAGATCGTCTGTGTGCGATCTTCGAACACCCAAGTGGGGTTGACGATAGGAGTGAGATGTGCCATCTTACTAGAGGTTGTTGGTGTTGAAAACTGGTGAGTGAACTTGGTGGAATGATTCTGGATGTAGCTGAAGTGATGTGTACACTGCACGTTTCACTGTAGGTTTTATACTGCTTCACCAGACGCTAGACATACATGAAGCTCGTATTCTTACGGGTACCTTGCTTGCCACATCCCAGGTACATAGGAACATAATACCGCATGCCTCCCCGAATAACGCGTGCCTCCCCGAATAACGCATGCCTCCCCGAATAACGCTCTAGACAATCATCCGCCCGGTGACATGTGAACTTCGGCTCCCTGCAATTTTTTTTCGGGAGATTCGAGATCTGCGCTGCAGGTGTGTATCTTATGTGCAGATTTCTATGTGATTAACTGTTCTAACTCTGCTATCATTGGTGGGCCATTTCGAGGTCGGTCACGGGTAAACTGCGATTCCATCATGACGGCAGGATCGAACGTTTTTCGAGCGGTGCCGCATCTGGCTTGTTGCTAGAGCTCCAGTGATCATGCTGAGAGAAAAATAATTTGATACGACTCGGAGCACTTCTCGATCCGAGTTCCCTGACCGCTAACTACAACCAGGCTGGCGTCGAACAAGTGCGAGTACCTCGCCTTAACACAAAATTTACGGTCACTCTTGATTGTATCATCTTCGTACATCATTCCTCCTGATTCAGACTTGTAGTATGCGCGTGTGTTTCAAGTAAGCACGACAATGGCAACGGGCTCACTATGCAATATAACAAACATTCCCTCAAGCAAAGACTCGGAACACATTAAAATATAAAAATGCCTTCCCCTGAACCTGCAAGGCCTTCACGGTGCCCTTTCCGCACCTTTCCCACAAATCGAGGCAACTGCAGAACGTCCGCTTTCCCGCACCGATCGCAGACGCCCCTTCATCAATGCAGTGCTCGTTGTCTCCTCACTGGCTCCGCTGAACGTTTGATTGAGTAAGTGTTTGACAACTTAAAGTCAGCAGTGCGATGACAAATGAATTGTCGAGTTCACGCCAGAATCCAGTCTTTTGGCTTTACATAATTCAAATCGGCCCAGACCAGTAAAATAAGACGCACTAATCCCATTTTTACGTTTCATGTTCGTTGGGAATGCAGTTGCGCCTTCTACCAGGGCAAGATGAAGAACGGTGTTACCCTGAAATGTTTCCGCGCGGTCATAGCAGACATACCATTACTCGGGGAACCCTAAATTATCAGATTTTCTCGGAGCTCTGTATTGGTTTTCTCATGGAGGTTGGATAGTTGCGAGGCTTCTCAAATCTCGTATGTACGCTTGCAAATTTGCAAGTGTTCTACTAACTCTGCTATCATCATGATGGGCCTTTTCGAAGTCAGTCATGGGTAAACTGTAAACTGCAATTCCGAGTTGGGATCCGGGCTGACTGCCGCTTGCAGCCATCCAGACTCCACGACATTCTGGAAGATGATCGTAATACGCTTATTGAACTTCCATTACCCAGAGGTACATTCATCAGCAAAAGGCCTTGAAATTTCGCTTGTCAAAAAGAAGTTTGATGCTTACGGTGAGCTTACGACCTGGTGATCGGAGCAACGTGATTGGTGGAACAGATTTTTCTGTAGTTACACTGTAAATATCTCGATGCTGAACTACTAGTCTAGGGTTTGTGCTATTCACAAACCCTAGACTTGGGCCACTCATAATTAGCTGCTAGTGACGCTCATAAAGCTTCGCAGAGATTAATGCACGAATTCAAAACTATATGTGCTGCTATTGTGAGCTACTGATACTATGCGAACTCCGTACTCAATGTGTGATAACTGTCCTTATCCGCAAAATTGTTCAGAAAAAAGCGGTCATAACTTTCCAAACAAATGGCTGAAGAAATCTTTTCGTCCACCTTTTGGCCATATTCTGGGATCAACTCGACAGTGTGTGTTACACTTGTCAATGGAACCACACCACCACATCTGTGTTTGCCGTGTTGGTCTTCCACATACGAGCGTTCTACTGTCCACATCGCGAGTTCAGGCCGGTCATTGGGACTGGCGACAAAGTCGTAGTACTGAATATAGAGCAGCGGATGGGATAGATATGATGGCAAAACTAGGTCAGAAGCACGTGGAAGAGTCGGTTGAAAAATAAGTCGAACTTGTGCGATACGACTTACTGAACATAATCTCGTTAGTGCTGGAACATAAAAACAAAAATGACATACTGGTTTGGCCATCGTCGCCTGTGACGTCGACGAGGACATTATCACAGTTTCCGAGGGGAAATCCGCTATCTGGTGGATACGCCTGGATCACTCTGCTGGGCATGATCAGCTGTGGCCGGAAGGCCGAATGAAGCTGTAATCGAAATTTTTTCCATGCATGAAAGCGTCCATATTTGTGGTCCCAGCGGGTATGCTCGCCGGTGGAAAGAGAAAAACATTTGATGAACTGAGAGAGTGCATGATCAAAATCAATGAGCGAATATATGGTATGAATGTCGGTGGGCGACAAAGATTTGAAATCTGGTGTCGACGTCAGATGGAAGGCAGTGAGTGCATCTCCGGAAAGAATGCCCTTGAGGAAATGGTTACGAACTGGCCGAGGTCCGTGAACAGAGTGCGATTCATCAGGGAGAACACGAGAAACCCAGGAGAGCGCTGGATTGACGGTTGTCACCGCCTCATCCTCAGTGCATATCACATTGACAAGTGATGCATGATGAGAACGGAACAGTGCGTACAAATTAAACAGCTCTATTGACTCCTGGCGGTTGAGAATCCGTACAGACTGTTCCACGAAGTCGTTGACTCGTCGATTTGTTCGTACAAAGAGATCCTTGCAGTGAGTAATGAGCAAGCGCTCCGTCATATCCGCCGAAAACTGCATCAAAGTGCCCAGTCTCTCGACTGTGCCTCTGAAGCTTTGGAGCAACTCGAGTTTAGGAATAAAGAAATCTTCCTTAACACCTTTCTTCCCCCTCCGAGCCTGGGCCTCGATGACAGCGTGCTTGAATGTATGAAAGTCTGAAAGGGACTGCATCATTGACGACAAGGTTTCTGCAGAATGAATCGGATTTTGGGCAAGATAAATGAAGTCAACGAGGGCACGGATTGCGCGAATGAAGTTAGGTGGAGCAACACCTGCAATCGAAGCAACAATGGTGCGTTGAATATCTCGATGCTCACGACCTGTCATCTGGTTGACGTGCGTGATACCTTTGGTGAAGTGGCGTGTTCCCACCCGCTTATGCTGATTCATGTAGCGAGCATCGAGTTCGGATTTTCCTACTACCTCCTTGATCCAGGTGAGCGGATGGTCAGCAAAAAATTTGATGCAGGTGTGCAAGATCTCGCCAGCGAGAAAGACAGACGGACATGCGTAGATCCAGTCACGCCAATATGGCATGTGGACTCCAGATAGATGGACAGCTTTGGCTGCCTTCTGGAATTTGTCGAGATCCCAAACATCAATTGTTTGGGAGATCTCACAGATAAGTTGTAGCGTGTGTTGCCCAGTACGAGGAGGGTAGAGAACCCCATCACCAAAATTTTCTTGTGACGCCATTGTTAAAGGAGATGCACTTTTACTAA